AGTGAACACTTAGGGTGGCTTTTGAATGCAGGCGTTTGGTAGAGTGACAGACCATACATTCTTAGAGACCACTTTTAAGGCCTTTGTTTTGTTTATTTGGCATTTCCTCCTATTCAAAAAGTAGGGCAGCTCCAGTTCTTGACTGTTTATCAGATTTCCTGATCTCCTGCTGCACATGAACAGGGAGTTTTCCAACACTTTCTTTATAATTAGGTAGTGGAGGCCTCAGGTTCCCATCCCTTTTGCTTGGGCAGGAGGAAGCACAGTCTGCACCCAGTGGTACCAACATGGGTAATTCCCAGGCAAGCTGCTGGGGAAGGTGGCTGTTGCTTTGTTTCAACAGTCGTGCTAGGTTAGCCCAAATCTGAGCCCTTCTGGAGCATTGCTGGAGGAGCATGCCTTGGCCAATGTGCAGAGCTGCTTCACCAGGATCTTCTAAGATACCAGTTAAGGCACTGAGTTAGTACTGACCATGGAGATGATATTCCTCATCTTCTCCATTTTGAACTCTGTGTTTGTACTGTGACAGAGGGGAGTAGCAATGCAATATCCTTTGGAAAAGGGGTGTCCTGTACCTCGCACCAAAACCAGTTAAATCTGGGTTTAATTTGGACTTGTCATTAGCCCCATGACAAGTGGGTTTCCTTGGCACTGGGAGGTGCTGTGTTTCAGAAGGGTGCCCCTGGGCACTGTAGCCACTGATGCTGCGCATCCTGGCCTGTCTGACTCTTTCCAGCATTTCGGAATCTTTGCTCACGCCCTGAAACAGAGCAGTAAGCTGCAGAAAACTCAGTGCTGGCCAAGATTATGAAGTCCATGGGCTTTGCATCTTTTGCAGTGCTAATGCTTGTAAATTATAGTGCTGCATCTTGTAATTTATTTGAGAGATGGATTCAATTAAATTCGAAAAGAGCTAATTTAAAGAGAAGGTATTTTACTTTCTGTGCAAGGTAAAAGGCCTGTGTCCAGATGCATTTAAGGCTTAAAGCATGCTGTGCTCCATCAAGCAATAAATAATTGCACAAACAACTGTAACAACTAGAATTGTAATAGACCTTGGAAGAAAATCTTCAAAATTTTTGGAAAGGTTAAAGCCTTTAAGGCATCAGCTGGTCTCAAGGCATGAAGAGGGAAGACTTTGTGCAAGGACCAGGTGAAGCCAGATTTGCGTCAGGCATTTTGTATCTTTCTCTGAAGGGTCTGGTGCTGGGTGCCCTTGGGCACTCATTGAGTTCATCCCACTGGCTGCCCTAAGACAGTGGCATTGGGGTGTTTCATGATTAAATATGTTTGGGGTGGTGCTGCTTAAGGAAAAACTCCTGGCTGTCATGGCCAAAGAAGATGAGGAATTACCCCATGATGCTTGTGGAGGGTTGCTGTGCGTAGGGGCACAGCCATTCTGCTTTCACACTGCTGTTTTAAAGAAGGACAATGGACTTGCTAGTGAACTTGCTTTGTCAGTGCAGGAAGGGCTGAACTTGGCATGTGACAGACAGCTCAGTCTAATTCTCACTGTTTAACTCCCTATCAGGTTAATCTTGTCTGTATGCTGCTAGCGCTCCTCTGCCAAGGAAGCCGGAAGGTTGCACCATGGGGAGTCAGATGGGCTTGCTGATGGCAAAGGCGGCAGCTTAGGAGCTCCACAACAGCAGCAGTGAAGCAGTTTGCTCATTAAATTGTATCATCCCCTGTGTGCTGCCTTGATTTTGTAGATCGGCAACGATTGCCAAGCTGTTTGCGGTTAAACAATGCAGACTCTCGTAATCCTGCTCCTCCTCTTGCCTAATTAGGGGCCTGGTCACCCTGGAGCTTTGCCCAAGTGAGGACTCCAAGGGCAGTAGCTCATTCTGGTGCAGTGCCAGGACCACGTGTTCATGATAGCGCTGTTTCCTTTGAAATCAATTGAGATGTCACCATCACTTGATCCTGGAGCTACTTAATGAACTGGCAAAATGAGCTCTATTTTTAGATCTCCCTCCAAACTACTGCGCATGTTAAAGCTTCCCTTGTCCTTAACGCCAGGGTGGTGTTGGGCAGGATTTATTGCTTTAGTTTAATAAGAGGCGTACAGAACTGAAATAACGAACTCCATTTCCTTGAAAGTGAGGAAAATTAAAATGGCATGGTTAAATCTGGGCAGCCGTCTCGAGACAGTAAAGTGATACGTTCATGTGTGGCCAGAAGGATAAGGTGGAGCTGGGATTTTCTTCTTGTCTAAGTTATGAGAGAGCCAAAGATTACAGACGCACAACTTCTGGGAGTTCTCGCAAGCTTTATGGATTGGATTTCTAAGTGTTTTCTGAATAGGATGAAACTTTTGGTGGTTTATTAGACAAGCTCAACAACTTAGAGAGCATTTACTTCATTACAAATGCTAAAGTGTCTTCCCCTATGTGTTTATAAGCGATGTCAGAAAAGCATTTTTGCTAAAATGAGGGAGAAACACAGACATAGGTGATTTAGATGTTTTTACTTCTTACTGTAGTCTGAAGCCAAGTTGGATAAAATGTAATTTCAGGAAGCTACCGAGAAAGCCTTGAGGCTTTCCTTGGCATTGGTATTTGCACACATATATAACCTTCTGTGGATCACACATGGGGTTTGGAGGTTTGCTGTCTGTAGGCTCACAGCCTCCAGGATTGCACACAGTTGAAGGGGGGGAACAGGGTGCACAGTCTTAATGCAGGTGGCAATTGTCTCCTGTTTTTCCTCTCACCCCAATAGACGGAAATGTATGTAATGGCAGAACGCATCCGTACTTTGGTTCTGTTGCACAGTCAAAATAAATAAAAACAATAAAAGCTCCAAACCCTGTGTAGCAGAAACACAAGAGGTGCCAAATGGGTCACTCCTGAGCCCAAGCTCTGGGTGCAAATTGTCTGTGGCAGTGGTGATTGCAGCTTCTCTCTGTATACTGCTGCAAACTAATTCAATTTCTCCCCCATGCTCTGAGCTGGAGGAAACAGTCCAGCTGACAATTATGGGGTCTCATTAGGTGTAACTGCGCATGTGCATATGTGCCCCAAAACCAAAACTGCTCTACAGATCTGGACCCGAGCTGGGCTGTGCTCTGCTCCAGAAAAGGTTAGGTTGGACCCATCCCTGTCTGTTAGGATAGTTAAACAGCAAAACTGACGTCTTTGGTGAGGCATCCCTCTTGTTTTAATTCAGCCTGATGCTTCACATATTTCTCCACTGCAGGGTTAACACTGCCCTGAGTACTGATTGTTTTGCACACCTTTAAAACCATCAGCTACATGATTTTTGTGTGTTTGCACAAATACTTTCTACCTTTCTAAGAAGTAGGCATTTTCACTGTACACTTTTGATACTATCATTAAAGAGTATTTTCACTTGTATGGTAAATTACAACATAACTTTTGTGTGATCCATGACGTCCTGGCTCACTTCCAAACACTTCCTCTGTCTTTTGGGTATCCCTGTCTCTCATAGAGAGAATTTGTGGTGCTTTGGCTGTAGGCTAATCCCTGATAGTTTGGGTCTCTTGGGTGGGTTTTGGGATATCATTTCTTGATTTTTTTTCTGGAATCTTATGCCTCATTAGGATTGCCAAATCGTAAGCTCTTGTTTTTTCAGACTGGTGTGGTTATTTTCTGCTACATATGAACGTGATTACATGGAGCTGTGATCTGCAAAGCATTTGATACTAGAATTGGACTCTGAAGTAGTTGCTGCAAAGCCTTGAAAACTCAAGAAGAACTAGCTAGGTTGTGCAAACTATGTGTAAATTACATGTAGCTATTCATGTTAAAGGGAAAGGAATAAAAAGCAAGTTTCCATTCCAGCCTCCTGTTATCTGCCAGTTTTACATTTTCCTGAAGTTTTTACTCTTTGAGCTGAAACTACGAGGTCTAGACTCTCTGCAAAAGATAAATATATGTCTTCCTTGGTTTGGGGATAACAGGAACTTGGAGATAGGTTCTGGGGAAGATTCTGCTGTTTCTAAACTTGAATAGTGGAAATAGAGTGTTCAGTCACTTGGGTGGGATATCTTTTAAGATGACTTCTAGCAGTTTACATAGTACAGTAAAAGTATAGTGCAACCAAATTGTTGTATTGGGAATTCTGTGATCCTTGCCATGAGCTGTCTGAATACTCACGCAGAGGATGCATGGTGGGTGATGGGGTGAAAATGTAGAAGAATGAGTATCTCCAAGGGGAGCATGTTCAGGATCACTGTGAAGGGGCACATCTAGGACAGGGCGGCTGCTGTAGCTCAGTAAAGGAAGCAGCACACGGAGAAGGTCACCAGGCTCTGCCACAGGGCACGGCTTGAGGAGAGTCTTTGTGGGCTTTGTACATGGGCAGCTCTGCTCATCCCTGGCCATGTGGCCATGCTGCTGTTGCTCATTGTCACCTCGTATTGTCACCTCCAGCTAGGCAAACATGGAGGTAAACAGGCTCGGTGTATTTACTCAGGGTGGCAGGGGTTGCTATTCCATGTGCAAATTTAAGTTGAGCATTTCTACTGCTTCTCTTGTAAGTGCTTAGCTATATAATTTTCATAACTTTCTGTTAAATTAGCTTTTCATCCATCATACATCGGCATTCAGCCCCAAACACTATCAATAAAATAACTTCTTTCTAAAGTGTTTCTTTCTCTGTGATGTCTCTGAAAGCTTGCTGAGCTGAACTAACTGCAATAAAAGCAGCATTAAAATTTTGTTAAAATGCCTGTGGAAGCACCTGAATGAGGTGCCGTTGGTGCTGGAGGCATTAGTGTGGTACCCTGCAGAGGATCTCTGTCCATAGTGAGCTGTAGCTCTACCCATTGGTAAAATTTACAATAACAACCATAGGTACTGTGGAAAATTACTTGCAGAAATGCATGCTGGCTTAATATAATGACATGTTTTGGAGAAAAAGATTATGTGCAGTGGAATTTTCTGACCCTTAGTAAAAATGAGAGGAATTCCATCAACCTTTCAGGTTTACAACTAAATAATTATAAGTTCTTTAATTTTTTTTTTTTTTGATAGGTAATGGAAACTGAGAAGTCTCAAGATCCAGCTTGTGCAGAAGCATCCAAAGGAAGCAGCCCAAGTCCAAACCTGGGAAGTGGCATACTGAAATACAGAAGTCGATCCCAAGGTAAAGCTGGGTTGCTAAGAGATACCAATTATAGAATTTTTATGTTGTGTATTTGTTTTAACTGTGAGATAGGATTTCTCTCCTTTGGAGATCAGATTAGTTTTATTTGGAAGGGAAGTCCCAGCCTTCCCAGCGAGGTCCCAGCTAGGGAAGTTTGTGTTCAGCCTCCTGAGCTGAATGGACAGAAAGATGAAGCTTTTTTTTTTTTCTTCTTTTCTCTGTGTCTTCTTCCCTATATATTTCAGCGTGTTCTGATACTGAGGTGGGGAATATATTTCAGCACACCATCATCAAAATACCCAATATGGCAAATACTCCCTAGATTTTCTATTGCTTTGCCCCCAGGTTTTAAGAGTAACCTGTGTGCAGCGTTCTATCATGTTCTCATTCCTGTTTCTTTCTGAAGCTCCATCCCTGCTGTCTCAGCTTAATTTAGATTTACTCTGGTATTTTTAGCATCCTCCAGGGAGCTCCTCTGCCTGTAGCCCCTGCGGCTGTGTGTTGGATGCTCACTGGGGATCCAGCCCTGGTTCCTGTGAGTGCTGATGGCCCTGGGCTGTGGGTGAGCTTGGGCTGCAGTGTGGGAAAGGAAGTTGCATTCAGAGATGGTCAGAAAACACAGAAATATGACTGTTCTTCTAGAAGAAGAGAGGGAGATGTGACAGGAAAGAATTAACTGTAAATGCCAGGAGTATTTTTGAATGAAAGAAGTGACAGGATGCTGGGTCCTGCCAAGATAGCTGTCCTGGCTGTGTGCACCAGCAGCAGTGCCCTGTGTGCCCAGAGAAGGAGAGCTTTAAAACCAGAGGTAATTTTGCACTCCAGAACAGGGAGTGAGTTTAAACTGCGCGCTTGGACAGTGGGTCCAAATTCTGCCTATGGATGTGGCAGCAGAATTGCTTTAATGCTGAGTGAAAACAAGTGAGTGCCTAGCTCTGTGCTCCTTCGCTCCTTGGCACTGGCAGTGATGTTTGCACAGTCCCTGGGCAAGGAGAAGGTGGAAGGAAATGGGTTTGGGGATCTCCTGGGCAAATTTACAGTGGGTTCACCTCAGCCCATGGTTTGTGAGCCCTGTCCCCAGAGTAAAGACAGGGAGAGCAGTGAGGATAAGGGGAAAGCATATCTGTTCCTTTCTATGGCAGCACAAACTTAGAGTCGGTTTAAGGTAATCTTAACACCACATAATGAAATCCAGCTTGTGTGAATTTAGCCAGTCTGTTCCTTGGGTTTTCATCTGTAAAATATGGGTTAATGTCCCTTCCCCTGCATGGTAGGGAAATTGCAAGGATAAATGTTCGGGAACTGCTGTGACTGGGGGTCCTGTGGGGACCTCTGACAAAATGAGGTTTGGAGGAGCCCTGGTGTGAGGAGCAGGGTACTCTGCTGATAATTACAGGATGTCCTTCAAGACAAATAATTCTGTTTCTTACATGAACTCTGCACTCTCCTCCTCTTTAAGATGACTAGGATCATTGCCAGAAGGAAAGAAAATAGCATTTCATTGGCACATTTTTCCTTTTTCCATTCCAGAAAAATTTCCCTTGAAGTGACGTGACACCTCCAGAAATGAATACTGCTACAGTGTCAGGTCTTTTAATTTTAAATAAATGAAGCTGAGAGCTTAGTGCACTGGCAAGTGCCATTGGGTGAGAACAGCTGAATTTCTTTCCTGTCCCTAAGATACCAGCTCAATTATCTTCCACTTTTGCTTACTACCATGAGCAGCGGTGCTGTGGAGTTCAGCATCGCTGAAGGATCGTAGAAAACCTGTGACAGCAGGAGGAGGTTTTTAGTTGGGGATAATCAAAACTATCATAGCACGCTGGCAAGAGGATAAAGTGGCTCTGAGATGTTTGACGGGTGTGTTTCTGTGGTTTTCCAAGGTGCGGGATCCCGTTTGGAGTCCGTGGGAGAAGACGATGAGCTGATGGTGGAAAATGGAGAATCGACTTACGAAATAGCAGTGAAATATTCCCGGGGTGGAAGAAAACACTCTCTGCCCCAGCAGCTGGAGTCGGCAGGAGCCAGGCAGGTGGGTGCAAAGATAGGGCTGGCTCTGAGCATCTCGTTGTGCTTGGTCCTCCAAGATCTGTCTGGAGCTCACAGACATGAGAGTAGTGGAACAAGGCCATGTAGATACACGACAGGGACAGAAACCAGGCCTGCAACCCAAAATGGGATGTGTTGGCCACCTATGAAGAGCTTCTTTACTCCAAGGATAGTGAAGGGGGCACTTCATGCTGTGTCTAGAAGATCCCAAGACTGATCTTACAAGAAGGGCCTATGAGAAAGATAGAGAGAGACATTTTAGAAAGGCCTCTTGTGGTAGGACAAGAGCTGGTGGTTTTAACATAAAGAGGGAAGATTCAGGCTGGATGTGAAAAAAAAACTCTTTAAAATGAGGATAGTAAAATCCTGGCAGAGGTTGCCCAGAGAAGCGGTGGATGCCTCATCCCTGGAGACATTCACGGCCAAGCTGGATGTGGTTCTGGGCAACCTGATCTAGATGAAGATATTCCTGCTCATTGCAGGGGGGTTGGACTAAGTGACCTTTGAAGGTCCCTTCCAACTCACTCTATGATTCTGTGCGTTCCAGTTCCAGAGATGTGAGGACTTAAGCCAAAAAATCCTGCTTCTCTTTATTTTGATGATTTGATGATGAAGGCTTTTTTTCTTTTTTCCTTTATTTTTTTTTTCCTCTTGTAAAACAGCTGAGGACTTCAGTATATCATGAGGCTACCCTTAATCTTTTTAATCTAAATTGTGACTGGTACATTACAAAATGATCCTACTATGCAAAATGCAAGAAAATTACTGTGGCAAGATTCACTTTGAGTATAATAAGCTAGGATTTCATACCTCAAACATTTTCCTAAATATATCTGTAAGATCCCCCACTCCCTCTCTCCCCGACACATGCAGTTTCCCTGATGTTATATCCTAGTGCCTGTGCCAAGCAATGAGAGTGACTTCCCCTGTTTGCTGTTTGTTAGGACTACCATATAGTGAAGAAATCCACCCGTTCCTTCAGTGCTGCCCAGGTGGAATCTCCATGGAGACTGACCCAGCCATCCATCATTTCCAACATCGTCCTGATGAAAGGGCAAGGCAAGGTGAGGATTTCTGCATGCAGCTGGTTTCTCACATGGAGCAAGAGTTGAGGTTTTAAGAGGTGTCTCCCATTGCCCAGGACTTCCTGCAGTTCACAAGGTAGCCCATGATAATAACAATAATGATAAATCTCATTTTCAAATGTAAACGCCAAAGTTACACCTGCGAAATGCAGGAGAAGTGATGTTTGTGTCACACACTTGACATGGGGTGGCATTCATTCTGATTTGGGGCTCCTGGTCATTACTGCGATACCAAATATTGGTAATGGATCTCTAAATGTGCATGTTTATGCAAAGCTGGTGCACCTACGGAAGAGTACCTCTTTGTGTGTGTATTTATGGACAAGCATATGTTATCTATGTGGAATCTGGATACAGTAAAAAAACATCACTGCAAATTAAGCGTTAAACCCAAAGACGGTTTCCTGTTTGGTTGATTGCTTGTCTGAATTCTCTGGGTCAAAGAGTCCTCTTTTCTCCCCCCAGTAGTATGTTTGCACGTTTGCTAGATACCAGCTGGCTGAATGCTAACAGAAAATAGACAAGCATTAACCTAGGTGTATATTGTTTTCCCTAATCTAATCCACAGTAGTATTTGGGCTGTCATTTAAATAGGCTATAAATATGCATGTCCTTTTCTGTAATAACTCTTTGTATTCATCAGATGAATATGTTTTGGACTAAAAAGACTTGTTTTGACTTTTAAGCTCAAATGCAAAACAAATCCCTTGTTGTGCTTTAAGTTCAGCAAAGAAAGTTAGAAACAGTGATTTCTCTGGGTAGATTGATGCATGGTTGCTATATCTTGTGGTGTTTTGGGAGCTTCAGGTCTTTAATGACATTTCCAAATGAATATTTCCTTATTTTCCACATACACCATTTTTTTTTTAATCCTGTTTTTCTCATAAGAATTAGATTATTCCTCCCTGTGGAGTAAGCCACCTTCTCCCATCTTTCTGCAGTTAGCAGACTCTAGTGATCATCAACCACCTCAAGCATCTGCCATTTTGGTGCCTTTCACCCACCTTTTGAGTGATCACCTCTGTTAGGGATTCCACTACAATTTTTGCAGTAACATTTGCTTTATGGAGTCTCTGGACTTGAAAAGGATTTCCACAGAGACACCGTATTGCTGACTGGGAGCTAAGTGTTTACCCTTGGGTTGTCATCTGTAGGTGGACATGCAGGGGGTGGTTTTTCTGCTGTGGAGTGACAGCACTTCTGCACGAAGGTGGGCTAACGTGGGAACTGTTGTGCTTTGCAGCTGTATTTCTCCCACCATATCCCACATTGCTGTGGAAGAATTGCTGTGTCTGTGCAGAGGCGTGCCGGGAGCCTCCTGTTTTCTGTAGGTTGCTTTGCAGTTGATAATTGCACAGTGAGCAGTTATTTTGTGTTGCACAGTGGAGATGCTTCCTTTCTAGAAATTGGTGATGTCTTATCAGATTACTAGAAGCTCATAACTGGTAGTCTACTTTATATTCACAGAGTAAAACAAAAGAGCTGGGTGTTGTATTGGATTGTAAACACAGTGCCTGCCCTGGCAGCATCCCTCAGCTGGAGAGCTGTGCCTGAGGCACTAATAATAACAGTGACTTCAGATCATTGAAGCACAGCAGTTTTCCACTTCCCTTGTCCACCTGGTTGGTGACTTTTCTCTTTATTCTGTAAAATACATGTACAGCAGTGACAACAGGAGAAATATGGGTCGGGGAGAGGTGGATTGAGGAAGTAATTTGGCTGGGAAATAACTCAGTAGGGAGGGGAAAGGTTCATTCTGCTGTGCTCATCTGTTCCCTGATCAGCTTCACAAGACGGTCCCACAGCCAGCCAGGGCAATGCCGGGGTGAGAGCTAACAGATGGAGCCCTGGGGAATGTATTGATCTGGATTTATTTAAATACAACATGGAACATGTACATTTTTAATTATTCTGGAGACATGAGCGTGGCAGCCCCCCCATGGCAGCCCCATTCCAGCTGCATTCCTGACATTACAGCACTGACCTTAAGTCATGTTCTTAAGCTTCTATTTTTTTTTCTTTCCTGAGGAAATGTAGGATCTGTGGCAGCAGAGAAAACTACAGTTAATCCCGGATATAGATCTCAGGGGTGGAAATCTACTGTCTGTCAATTTAGAAGCGATGTGTTACGGTTTTTAAAATGCAAGTAGGATAACATAAAGCTATTGGCCCAGTGGATTTTTTTTTAAAGTAATCTCAAAATGGCATTTTTGCTATTTCAGCTTAAGGTGCCTGCTGCTACTTTTTGGGCTGATAAGTGTGTTGGTATTAGAGTGAAAGCAAATGAGGAAATGCAAGCAGAGGGTAAGATGGCAGTGCAATTCATCAGAAGCTTTTAGGTTTTCATCTTTCCTTTGACTTATTGGCAGTCTTTCCCACACAGGTATTAATAAAGTAAGGTGCCAGCTGTCGCTTCTCCCTTTTTTTGTAGGGTCTTGGATTCAGTATTGTGGGAGGTCAGGATTCTGCTCGTGGACGCATGGGGATTTTTGTGAAGACCATATTCCCAAATGGAGCAGCAGCTGCTGATGGAAGGCTTAAAGAAGGTACAGTAGAGAGAATTCAACTGCATGTAAAGGACCACAGTGGGATATTATTTCAGTCCAGCAGTAAAGCTCAAGTACAACTTTATTTAGGTACTTGGCCATCAGCAAGAGGCTGTGGAGAATGTAACACACCCTGTTTGTCCATCCTGGGAAGGTCATTCATAGCAGTTAACTTGATTATATTTCATATTGAGAAGGGCAAGCTACAGCATGATGGTTTGTTTTGTTTTGTTTTGTTTTTCCTTCCTCTTCAGTGAACTTTATTTGCCCAAGACATAAGCTGCAATTCTTCAATTGGAGAGGGTTATTGATAGCTGTGAAATGCATCTATCAAACCAAGATTTGGCTTGAAAAAGGCTAGTCCAAGAAGGGGTTATATAGAAAGACATGTTTGGGAGATGCTGCTCTGGGCCATTGTGCTCTCTAAGCATCTTGGTATGATTTTGACATCTATCAACAAGTAAGAGTCATAACCAGAAAAATAGCAGAGGAAAGATGGTATTGGCAGTAAGATCATGCGGCTGGTTGGGGAAGCAGTTATATCCTGATTTTATTACAGCTTCTGCAGGCTTGATCTCTGAGCTGTACGTGTAATCTGCTCTGTGTTTGTTTTCACCCTGGTCTGAGTGCTATGCCAGAAAGACACACAATTACTCACTTGCTGAAAATACAAAGTGACCATGAGTTCAGAGTGGTGGTTGCCAACTCTTCTGCAGGGGTTGTGTTGCTTGTCTTCTACAGAAAGCTGCTCCTGTGTTACTTCTCTCAAGCTGCTCCTGTGTTACTCCTCTCCTTCGCGTATCATCATTGCCCTCTTTAGATCTCATCACACTTGTTGTATTTGAGGCTTTTGGTGCCAACTCTCACACTTGCTGCTAGAGGGAAGCTTGTGTGCCTGTCGTATGGGTTGTGCACTCACTGTGGGAAGCCAAGAAGTAGCACCTGTCCCATAGCCCCTTTGAAGGCTATTCAAAGCTTGTGTTCCCTTTATTAATTTATTTAATTATTTGTTTTTACTGGGCCAGGAAAGGAGAGGAGAAGTAACTTTGTCTTCTGACATTGGCCGTCTAATTTTACACATGTGGAAATAAATTTGCAGAACATGAATTTGGATAATGATGAACTTCTTTTAATAAAATGAAGGTAGATCACCATAGCTGTGTGTAAGAAGTAAGACCCAGAGCCTGGAAGCAGGTAGAAATATGTTGGGATGTGTTCACTGGGATAAGAAGAGTATGTGATGGGATGTGTTCAGGGGGGTAAGAAGGGGATTTGCTATTGCAGTGTATGGGCTACATGCTTCTCCATCCACAGGCATTTAGTAAGATGACACGTTTGCTTTCTGCACGTGGATGGAAGGTTAGTTTTCTCCTAACAGGCTTTGGAGTGACATGTCACTGTGTTTAACTTACATTCTCATTTCTCCTATTGATGTTCATAAAAGAAAGGGAGTCTTATAGTCCCTTTGGACTTCCATGTTACGAGCATCTATTTTCAGACTTCAGTTAAAATCCATGGTGTTTCAAGCATGTTTGTTAGTATGAAAATGCCAAGTTAAGGATCTCTGCTGAATAACAGTCCTTACTCTGCTAATTCATCACTATTAACTTGTAAAGGCATTAGGACAAGTGAAAATAAACTGAGAACAGTAAAAGGCTTTTTCTGAACAGTTAATTGGAATCTTTGTAATAGCAGGTCGCCTTACATACAGGAAAAGGTTTTTTTTACATCTCTGTATAGTCTGTATATTGCTGACTTCTGTATCTAATTACCAGGGGATGAAATCCTAGAAGTTAATGGAGAGTCTCTACAAGGACTGACCCATCAGGAGGCCATTCAGAGATTTAAGGTAACATGGATGTAGTATGGAAGAGATTCGTACTCCTCTTCAGTGTCGTTTCATACCTTCAGCTTTATATCCTTTAGCTGCCACAGATTACTGTATACAGGTTTACTAGCAAATGCTGGTGTATCGTGATGCCTTACTGGGGTTCTCTGATGTCTCTCCAGCAACTCAAGAAAGGTGTGGTGACCCTGACAGTGCGCACCCGGCTGCGCAGCCCGAGCCTCACACCCTGTGTGACTCCCACCTTGCTGAGCCGCTCCAGTTCCCCCAGCTCCAGTGCTAGCGGTGGCATGCCAGCCCCTGGTGCCGATGAGGTGGACGGTTCCTCCTCCAGCCGCAAAGGACCTGGCCCAAAGGACAGGATTGTCATGGATGTGACACTCAATAAAGGTGAGAGTTCGTTGAGATGGGATTGGAGAACAAATCCCTGTGCCTTAGGGGAGGTTTTGGGAACATATTAGAGGCTTTAATACCCAGGGAACGTACCTGTGTCCATCTGATCTTGTACCACAGGATGGGGGAGAAAAGCATTCTCTAATGCAGAAACTTCTGAAGAGTTCCCCCTTCCACATTTTGCTGCTCCAGAGTCAGCAGACTCTTAAGAGGTAGCACTCAGTGTCTGTGCTGCTGAGAGAGGGATGCTGTGAGATACTGGGCAAAATGTGAATCAGCCTCTCAGCAGCTCAAAATGGTTGTGCCCTTCTGGTAAACAGCAGCTCTGGGTAAGGCAAAGCTCTGTAGAGTGCTCGAAATTGGCCAAATGAGCTGTTCTGCTACATAAGGGTTGCTCTCATTATTAATAATTATACAAGATAAATTTAGAGGATATGCTGTATGTGGTACAACAAATATGTCCATTTCAGAGGCTTAAGTCATGCTGATTTTAAAGGTTGGATTAAAAATTTGGAGAGAGAAGATGAGATGTTCAGCAATTCATATGTTAGGAATGATCTTACTTGAAGGAAAGCAAAGGTGAAGTGTACAGAGGTAATTACTGAACCAGGGATAATGCCTTACCTTTCTTCCTGCCAATTTGCTGAGGAATGCCATGCCTATATATAACAAAAGGGAGCAGTACAGTTGGCAGCATCTTCTGTACTCATGTTTTTTGCAGTGATCTCAAGTGACATCTTTATTACGTTGCTGCCCCCACTTCTTTGTGCCTTGGACCAGATCAGACCTTGTGTCATTTCCAGGCAGTTCCCACGCCACACAGAGAACTTTGTGGAAGTGATGGATCTCAAAAAACAGTCAGAATCAGATATTTTCAATCCTGATTTCCACTTGTTGGTCTTGGCTTCCTGACTGACTGCACTGAAGGCCAGCCCTGAAACAATACATGAGTCTTGGTCTTAGATGGGATGTGGGAACACAAACATTTGTGTGTCCTGTGTGATTACAATCTGCTACTTTTCTTTGTACTTCTTGTTTTTCACAGAGCCAGGGGTTGGGCTTGGCATTGGTGCCTGTTGTCTCACACTGGAAAACAGTTCTCCAGGGATATACATTCACAGTCTGGCCCCAGGATCGGTGGCTAAAATGGATGGCCGATTAAGGTCAGTTAAAGCAGAAACACACTGGAGTGGTTTTACAATAGAGTTGTTTGAGATCTTGTTTTCACCAATGGGTTGATGTAGCATGGAGGGGATTTATACTTAAAGAGTAGACCAAAAAGAAAACATTTAAATAAAGACATTCCAAAGGGGTATTAAATACCCAGGAAACATTATTCTGTGTGCTGGAAGCAGCACGATCATTAAGGTTGTGGTTGATTTTTCTTTTTTAATTCTTTATACAGAAAGCTGAGCCTAATAGCACCCTTTTAGAAAGGAGAGCAGCAAGAAGTGCAGCCTCATGTCTTTTTATCAGAGCCACAGCCAGAGACCCCAGACTGGGAGGAAATTTGCAGAGCTCTGCTAAAAGCTCAGTCACCTGAAACTCTCTTGAAAAGAGCTGGGGGAGATGTTCTTGCAGCTGATGGTGCCCATGGCTGCAGCAGTGCTTTTCTGCCCTTACTGTCAGTCTGGCAGGATTGCTGCAGACTGAACTACCCATCTCATTTACTCTGTCATGGAGTTTAGATGTCTTTAACAAACTGTAAGAGAGAGAAGCAATTGTTCCCTTGTGCTTTAGGTTGGATTAAGTGGCAGAAAGTTATTTGCTGTTCCTCTCCTGGAGGCTTCACTTCTAAAAACAGTTGGAGGAAATCTTCCACCTTTCTACATCCCTGCATAAATGCTGGTGGGTGCTGGGAGCATCGCTTGGGAGGGGAGGCTCTGCTGAAGACCCAGTGGGGCTGCGTGATCCGCCCTGAACGTGTGGTATGAGCACTGGTGCAGAGAGGCTGAGCAAATGCCTTGCTTTTGCATTAGAACAGAGTGCTTTTCTGTTTCCTTGCTTACCAGGAAAACTGTGATAGAGCAATTGGATTTTTTGGAATAAAGGAAGAAGATAATTTTGTGGTGGCATCCCTGCCAAAGCCCTTTGAAGTTCCTACTATATAGAAATGTCTGTAGCAGACAGTATTTAATGCCAACTTGCTTTCTTGTAAGCCTCTTTGGAAAAGATTGCAATGCTGGTTGCGTCTGTATGTAACAGCTGTATCATTTATTAAGTTTAATGATTGATTTTATCCAGGCATGCTTCCCAGATTTCTAGCTTGCTTCTTTGAGACATTTGCTTCTGTTGTCCCATCAGTGGTTTATGGCTCCATAGACAAAACTTAGAGGATGGTTTTGATTTTTTGAAAACTTTGTTAATAAAATACTGGCTTTACAATACCAGAGAGGTTTGAATCCAGCTCCTCCATATATGAGCTTCCCTTCTCAATGATGTGCCTGTCTAAGTAATACTGTATATGTACATGACTGTGTATTTCTAATAGCTCTGTACTGTAAGTCTAAACGATTGGCAGAGCAGCAGCATGATTACACAACTGATAGGTCACCCTTTGCTTTCCTGAGCTTTTACCAGAAGTACAGGTTACTGAAGGCTGCCACTTGCAATTGCCATTTTGCCTTTGGCATGTAGACTCACAGTGTAAATTTTTTTTCCATTGTCAAAAGTAGCCCAATATAAATCAGCAGTAGTAGACTATTTGAGAATGTCTATTTAAATGAAATGCCTTAGTAATTATGAGAATGCTTTAATGATATCCCTAGCTGATGATCTTTTCGTTTAAATAGTTGCAGATGTCTAAGCATCATGAGCAAGAGTTAGCAAATAGAGAAAACAAAAGTAAACAATATGTGCTTTCCTTTCAGTTGAGTTTTTTGGTGTTTGTTGGTTTGAGTTTTGTTGTTGGTTTGGTTGTTTTTTTTCTTTCTAATGGGCATTGTATCTTAATTTGAAGCAAATGCAGGCTTATCTCGCTCAATTTTTTCCTGGAGTAATTTCATAAACTCATATCTAAATTGTTTATTTCTTATCAGTGTGTTTAGTGTTATGTAATTCAATATGAGGGGAAGGAACAGCCCATCTGAATCTAATTTTTTCTCTTTGCTCAACAAGTTTCAAAATGCAGAACTGGAATCAGAAGTTTGCTTTCACCCTAGTCCAAGTGCAGCCAAATGTTCTCTGTTGATTTAATAGGGTTTTTAGCACTGATGTTAAGTGCAGAAGGGATCTCTGCACCTCCCTCATGAAGTCAACAGGACTTGAAGCATTCACGTCACTGGGAACAAAACCAAGACTGAGTTCTTTGCACGTCAGATCTTTTCCAGACACTTGTATATTTGAAGAAGCTTAGCCATCAGTTGAAAGCACAAATGCTTTTCTAAAAGGCAGTTGTGATTAACTGGCTCTATCTCTCTGCAGCCGTGGTGACCAGATCTTGGAGGCAGATTCAGTGAGCCTGCGTCACGCAGCATTAAGCGAAGCCTACGCCATCCTGAGTGAATGTGGTCCGGGTCCAGTCAGCCTAATCATTAGTCGGCATCCTAACCCAAAGGTGAGGAGAAAATGAGTTAGTGTGTCTGGTTTGTATCTGGTGCTGTAATTTAAGTCTTGGTGTCAGGAAAGCAGTGAATGAAGAATACTGGAGTTTTCTCTCTATGGCATGTGTTGTTTAGTAAGTCAGGATCATAATGATGCCTTCCAGTGTTGTAACCTGTAGCAATGCTGGACTGTCCCTGCTGCTTTTCACTTAAATCACCCACTGATCAAATACAATTTTCCTGAAACTACTTGAGTGACTGTTCCCATCTTTCTCAGTACTTGGACCAAGTGGCAATGCAAATATGGCACAGGTCCTCCTCTTCCTAAAAGTCATTTTGCAATTAGCTTGTCTCTGGGTAGAATATGAATTAGGGCCAGGAATATAAATACCAGCTTATTGAACTGATCAGCTATAATAAAGTAGTAGGAATACTGTTTCTAAAAAAGTAAAATCTGTCCAAAGATCAAAGTTTTCCTTCAGGAATTAAAACATGAGAATCAGGAATGTACTGCTACTGTGAAATCTGTGCAAGGGCAATTTGGAAAGAAGGCTGTGTTTACAAAGTGAGTATTTTCAAGCAGTTTTTAAAAATTGATGATAGAAGATAAAAGCCTTTTCAATCAAGCTATTGGGAATAACAACTTCTTTTATTTCAGTATTTCAAAGAATTTTATGAGTGTGCAAAACCTTCCTATTTAAACAGGAATGAAGCTGTAAAAATATTTGCATTAGTAGGTCCAGAGAGCTGTGACTTTTGAACTCCTAACTACAAATGGAGACCTTAATAAATCCATATCTAGGAGAATTTAGGTTTCATATTTTATAATTAATTGTATGTTTTCTGCTAAATCAAATATACAAACAATAGACAAATAGGGGTCTGCTGCCCGGAGTTTTTTATCATTGCTGCTAGGCCTTGTGCTGCTAAAAAGAGGCTGTGGTTCTGTTAGTTAAAGGTAAGCATGAAGGGGGTAAGAATTGGGCTTATAGCCTAAGATAACAGTATTTGAAGGAAGTCTGTATGCTGTGCTGAGCCAGCACAATGGTTCCATTTGATTGCATTATTAAGGCATATAGAATTTTGGAGAGGCTCCGTGAAGCCTGCCCTCTCTTCTCCATCCTTCACCTTGCTGTGATGGTGACTAGAAACCCAGTAAGTGGCTTAACCAGGTATCTGCTGAGGAGATGAGCTGAGTTAAGCTAATTGCTTGCTATTACTCAGTAACAGAGGGAAACTATTAAGTGGCTCCTATTGCAATTTTTCATAAGTGATATTTAAAATGACAACAAATTCTTTGCCAAGAAATGCGAAGCTAATTCTAAGAAAAGCTTGAAGTTAAGCTGGAGTGACCCTAAAACATTTTTTCCTCCTAGGCAGTATTGAATCCACAGTCCCTCATAGCTGAATCTCTGAAGGGGTGTCCATACGGGCACGCATATTTATCATTATGTCATTGTCATAGAATCATAGAATGGTTTGAGTTGGAAAGGACCTTAAGATGACGTAGTTCCAACCCCCTACCATGAGGAGGGATGTCTCACCCTAGACCATGTTGCCCAAGGCTCTGTCCAGCCTCTTCTTGAGGGGAGGAGCATTTTTTTTCTGACAGCAGGAGGGATCTGTAGACATGTGTGGGCATTTTATCTTGGTTTTGTTTTATTTTGTTTTGTTAGCTCTTAATAATACCTCAGCCTGTGGAGTGTAGTTAGGAATTAATTAGCTTGTCCATCTCCAGTTTGATCTGCCTTAGGCATAGAGGATGCTAAAAGTCAAAACTGGAAGAGCTTGCACAAGTGTGAATTTCTGTTTAGCTTTAAACCAATACCGCATTCTGTCCAACACCTTGTTTCACTCCTGGGACATCTTGCACCCCAAAGTTTGTGTAAAGCTCTTAGATCATACTCTTGAGGCTTGGTCTGTGTCCTGTAGGAACTCCCTGTGCCCCAGGAGCCGGTAGGCTTTTGGTTTGCTGTAAGGTCATGCCACAGGCTTAAAACAGAGATGTATTTCTACAAAGGCTCACGTTGCTTTGGATGTTTTTATACTTAATGTCTTATTTTATGACACAAAAGCTCCACAGTACATTTTGTTGCTGAATACGTTCACTTTAGTGTTTTCATGTACTTCCAAGAGCAATACCACAAAATTTTCTTTCTTCTTGTTATTCTGAGTGAATGTGGCATTTAAACTATGTCTAAACTGCTGAGTTTGCTTAGGAATCTTTCAAATCTTCATGGTTCAGAAAGACTCAAGTTTCTAGTCCCTATTTATGCTGAATTTTAATTCATGTAAAAGCAATGTGCATAGAAATTATTTTTGACAGAGTTAACTTGCTTTCTGTTTTCAAATATATATATTCCTGTAGACTAGTTGTTCCTGTTATAAAGTCATATGGAGTTTTCCAGTAATAAGAATTAAGTGCATGGCACTCATTGAGAACAAAATTAGCAAAAATGGTAAACCAGTATTTATTCTTAAACCAGAGAAACATTAATTACCGATTACTGATTTAGGTTTTCTTTTTAAAAGCAAGGACAAATGAAAATTAAAAAGACAGCTAATATCACGGGAAGTCTGGTATTCTTCCGGTAGGTTGAGTGTAGAATATCTTCAGTTGCTGATGTGTTCTTGTACAAAGCAGTCTTTGTCTATTTTAAAGTAATATTTTCTTGATAGATCAATGTACAGCATTTAATTGAGTTAAAATTGTGCTGTAATGGCTTCATTTGATTTCTTTAAGTCTGGCTGTTTTATTTGTTTGCATAATGTGGTGCTTGGACGTGGTCTTCATGAAGTCGGCAGGCTTCTGCCTCCTGGCTTATGCAGGAGAGTAGCATGGAGGGAGTCTGAATCAGGGGACTAGGACTTAGGAGCTCTCAAGGAGGTGGTCCTTACTGCATCTTTATAAATAGTAGCATACCTGAAATTAGTCACCTATTTCTAGTGATAAGTGGTCAGACTTGCATCTTCATTTTGCCTACCCAGTTTGATCTCTTGTCTTCCACTTGACTTTAGGTTTCTGAGCAGGAGATGGATGAAGCAATCGCACGTACTACCCACCGAGAGAGCAAGGATTCCAACTCCTCTCACATGTCAGGTAGCAGCAAGTTTTCTCCTAATATGTGTCCTTTTCCAAGTACAGGAAGGTTTAAGGACATCTTCTTGGGTTCCCCGACATAAATATTTTGAGGACCTCAAAACAGCAGAACAGTTTAGTGGGTGTAGTCACTCTGTCCACTTCCAGAAATTTTATCAAGACCATCAAGTTTGACCTCATAGCTTATACTACTCTGTTTTGCTAGGCTGTCATGATCCGAAAGTAGGGTTGCCAAGAGATGGTTGCTTTATCCTCTCTTCAAGATTAACGGGAAGCACGTTGTCCTAGTAAAGAAAGGACAGGATGAATCAACTCCATGTGTGCACATTTATCCACATAGGTGGCAAAAAAACACACACAAAAAAGAGAAAGTATTGTTGTGTCCATTTGAAGAAGTCCAGATATTGCATACTGGACTGTGTTTTAACCACAGTTTAATCTTTGGGGTCATCTCAAAAACGGAGTGCTTTGGCATTTGTCTGATGTTTCTGAACTGTAGACCTAGCACTTCCTAAAATCTTACAGATGAAAGCAAACTCCTGGCAATGGCTGAGTGACTAGTAAGGTGATTTTTGGAAAGAAATGTTGGATTTATCATTATCCCCTTTATATTTGTGTCAGCAAGACCTTTACTGAAGTAGACCTTGCCAGTGGCTACTAATTTGTCTTCTGAGGTTGCGCCTAGTCAGCAGCATGCTCCAGCATGTGAGGAAGATCCTCTCCTGCTTGTCTCTTGTTCATAGCCCTGTCCTAGGCCTGGCTGGTGTAGTGTGTCTCTGTGACTTTATTTCACCTGATCTGAGGGAAAGCTTGTGGAATGTTAATAAATCTCACTTTAGGAAAGCAGTTTAGATAATAGGTGGGATTAAATGCAGTCCTCAGCTCAGAAAGTGAATGAGGAGCTGGTTTGTATATATAGTCCACAGCTTTAATTTTTGGCACCTAACTAAGCTGTGTTTAACAGGAGCTGTACAAAAAAGTCCATCTCCTAGTGTGAAGGTCAAACAAGGAGAGACCTCATCTCCCCTCAGCTGGACTATGAAACGTTTCCTGGAGCCAGCAAGCCGGGTAAAAGAATTAGATGCAATAAAAACAGCGTCGGCTTCACATTCAGCTTTTACTTCAGCTCTTATTTGAGGATCTGTGCTCCTTCCCTGTCACATGGAAAGTGTTTGTTTCTTACATCATGTGTTTAAATCATGATGGCAGCAAGCTCCCTTTTGGGAGTGATGTACAGAACATGGGAGAAAGAGCTGTGGGCTCCCACCTCCTGCCACCTAGAGGCACCCCTGGTCTCTGGGGCACACAGAAGAGGTTAGCAGGAGAGACATTGAGCCTGTGGGCAGCAGGCTGAGTGCTTCATCTATTTATATAGCCGTTGCAGTGGGAAAAGTCTCTGTTTTATCTGGGAAGGACAAAAAAGTCATACAGACTGTGTCCAGAGGTACAAACCCTTCCCTTCTCTCAATGCAGAAGGTGCGTAAAGGGAATCACACAAGGGAATGGTTTCATTTCTTGTCTGCATTGAACCACACCTGTAACACAGTGGGATTTGGAATCCATTGTTATTTATTATAGTGGCTAAAAATGTATTGATATGCAGCATCTCAGCCATCCAAGTTTGACAGTTTGGCTCTCAATGTACTGACAAGCCCTCTATTTTACAAATTTGCTTTAAACTTCCTTTATTGACGTGGAGATGTGAGTGGAGTTTGTGGTGGTTGCACACAGACAGAGGCTTGAAGCATCAATGATGGCCGGTCACCAGGTTCAATTCTTTTCAGCAGGGATCTGTCAGCTCCGAGGCAGAGCTTTCCCAGTACTTCTCACATGATGGTACAAGCCAGCTCCCATATTCTGATGCTGTAACAGGCTCCTGTGACGAAGAGCAGCTCCGTCAGAAGAACAGAAGCAGTTTGTTGGATGATGGCTCTCTTCTTCCTGGCAACCTGAGTAAGAGACGGAAATACGTGAGGTCATTTGGCTGATGGGGTGAAAGTCAGTGAGCTGGTTTGATTTACAGGAGAGCTGTACAGTCATTTCTGTGCTGGTAATAAGTGCTGGGCAGTGTGGTACAAGCTGGTGCTCATCATATTAAATTCATACTGGAAAATGGAAGGGGTTTGCAATAATGCACGTAAGTGCCTGTTTCCATGGTATTTTGTCCAAACTGCTGTTCTGATTATGTGAAAATGACTTTATTTGATTGGTTAGGCTGAAACTGGATTGACAGCACTGCACTTTGGGTTCTTTTTTTTAAATGACTGATGATCATCTGATTGATTATATTTAAATGAAAGTGTTCATAGCTATATCAAATACACCATTTCAAAATGTCATGTATAGCAGTGTAAAAACAATCAAATGTTCAATTTGACATGAGATAATTTTGACATGTCTTTGTCCCCATAGTCTTTAACTGAAAGTATCTTGCATTTCCTTAAAGACCTACCCCTGATCTCACAAAGGTTATTGCATTTGTTCTGCCTTTCCTATGCTTCTTAAGTAATATCTTTGTCTACAGCTTATTTTTCTCTAGAAGTTCATTCTTTAATGCTTTAAAAATATTTTTATCTTAAAATTCCCACTAAACAAAGCAAAAAAACAAAAACAAAAACAAAACCCAACAAACCACTTTCTACAAAATAAGATGTAGTTCTTTATCAGAAGAATGTGAAAAGAGTTCTTCGGCTAATTACTCTTTAATTTGAAACTGATTGTGTGCTTGTATCTTTGTTCAGGAAGTCATTTTTCGCTCTCTCCTAAGTTGACACAGGCAGTCCTGAACATAGATTTAGGCAAAATGTGAAGAAATTGTCTTGTTTAAATTAAAATACACATGTGAATTTGCATCCCTTTGTGTCATAGTCATAATTTATAAATAAACTGAAAATAGAACCAGATGTGCCAGGAACTGATTCTGAGAACTACCCGTAAATTGTAGTGCTGTCTACCATCCATCTTGTAGTGTAGTTAAAGGGAGAACATGAAAAACCTGTTTTTCACTTTGTGAGATGTTTAGCTTCCCCCATGAACAGAGCCACATGTAATCTGCTGCAATCAGATGCATGGTATTAAAAGTCATCTATAAATGCAATTTTTTTTTTCCCTAGCTGCCAGAGAAGCAGGAGTGGCAAAAGCAAATGGTCCGACTTCTCCTAGTACTGGGAGATTGTCCAGTCTTCACAACAAGCATGTGGAATCTGTCAGACCAGGCATCCTCAGTGACAGCCCCAAATCTGCCCGCAGCCCCTTTCATCGACAGAGAAGGGTTGTGTTCTATGATGGTGATGTTAGTGATGATGATGAAAATTCCCACTTGCAAAGAAGCCAGAGGGCCAAGAGCCAGGAGGATGCTGGCGTTGTCATTACAACCTCGTCTGTAGAAATCGATGATGAGAGCCAGGACAGTGGGTCACCTAGATATAGTAGCACAGAGACATCTTCCCCTGTCTTCAGCAATTCTGCGGAGTCTGCAGACAGCACGCTGGAGCAAATTGACTCTTCCTTCTTCCCCATCATAGCGTTCGATTACTCAAGTGTGCCTGAAGTTCGTCTTGGCAGCCTGAGTCTGAAGGAGCTCCGGGAAGCACAACTTGAATCTAAGAGATCCCCAAAACTTGAGCATAGAGCAGTCACGAGAGTGAAAAGCATGATGAGCACTGAGTGCCGAAGCCTTCAGAGGCAGAGGATGGAGGAGCATGGCTCTTACAACAAGCCTATTGCAAGGATGCTCCCTCACAGCAAGAAGTGTGAAGCACCAGACGGAGCTGGGCAGGGCCAAGGTGAAATAGTCACCTTGGTTCGCAATGAGCACGAGTCATTCGGCCTGGATCTGGAAATCCAGGCCATGCCTTTAAAGGTTGTTGTCACAGGCCTGCGGCCAGGTGGAGCAGCAGAAATGGTAATTTTTTAATTTGGGTTGCCTTGTTGTGATTTGCTTCTATTTTGCTTGGATTATTATGGTTATTGTTGTTATTAAACAAGTCATCTGTTGATCACTTGTTTAATAACACGTGCAAGGGACGTGTTTGCTGGGCAAAATGTCTCATCCCACATTGTTCTGAAGCTGCAGTTAAAATTAAACGCTTCTGATTTAGAAGCATATCCTGGCTGATTCAGAACTAAGAAAGTCAAGAGGTGGATCTACTGAGATGGACTTGCCCCTGCTCGCACTCACAGTTTTGAGAAAATACTATTCTTTTGTTTCTTTTCTTTTCATCAGGGGCAAACACAAAAGAAGTTAATCCTGATGGTGAAAATGTTTATTAATATCTATTAACTTATGTGCATGTATTCCTGTGTTACATGAAACTGGTACCAGGGAGGCCTTAGGTGCTGGTGAGGTTTGCCAAGCACCATGGCGGTGTTGGTAACACACAGCTCTTGTGCATCTCATACATGCACATACTAATTTGGATATTTGCTTCATGCTGGATGTGGAATTGCTGACCTAAATGCCAAAGTGCAGAAAAAGGAAGGATAGTACTCTGATGTACAAAGCTGGGTGTAGCATTTTTTGTCTAGTTAGCGGCCATTAGGGCAAGAGGTAGTATGTGGCAGCGGATTGAGTTGGGCTATCAGAGCTGGGGATTTGGGCTCCGTTCCTGCCTTTTTCTCTGACTTTTGTACAGTGTTTAGAAATAAACTTAGGTTTTTACCATAAAAGCTCGGTCCATGTCCAATTCAGTTATTTAGGAGAGTCCCACTGGTCCAGTGGGAGGTTGTGACCAGGAATATAATTCATACATGAAATGCAAAAATGACAGTGTTCCAGACCTGAAGAAGCTAGGGCTAATTCAACCCAATTCATTTATATGAAAAGGGCTGTGTCCTCCCTCCTGATACTGATCTCTCAGAGAAGGCACCAGCTCTTTTGACCTTCCTGTTTGAGACTGATCATTAATTCATCTCCTGGCAAAAGTACAGTCTGCCCTTTATTTATGTGTTGGCAAACCAACAGCAGTGGTACCTATGCTCTGCAGTGATGTGAAATAGGGAACATTGCTTGTAAGCCATGAGTTACTTCCCTGCAGTCCTTGCCCGTGTGGCAGTGCTTTTGTTGTGTATTTATAATTTCCTTGAATCTGTCGTTGCATCAGGGATCAATGGGCAAGATGGCTGTAGGAGATGAGATTACCACCATCAACAGTATCCCAGTCAGTAAGATGACGTACGAAGAAATCTGTATGCTTATGCAGTGTCTTCCCACGTCTGTAACCCTGGAGATCCAGAAAGTAACACCAGGTGAGAGAGTAGTGTTGGTTTTGTACTATATATTCTGCCTACCAGTGGAGAAAATTCCCTTGGATCAGCTGGATCTAATCTTCTGCTGCCGCAGCTCCCCAAACTGATTCAGAGAAAAAACAGGGGGTACATTCTGTCTGCATTGGTGATCTGTCTGCTGTGGGCAGGGGCACCTCACACTACACCAGGTTGCTCAAAGCCCTATCCAACCTGGCCTTGAACAGTGCCAGGGATCGACCATATTTCTTATAAAAAGTTTTCTAGGTTGAATTGAAATATTTGATACCTTCTTAGTTTCTGCTCAGGGCTTATTTATGCTGCTGCAGCAATATATGAATCCCCACAGACTGTACAAATTACGTGGTGTGGAAACGAGTGTTTGAAAAAGAAAAGCATACTTTTAAAATTCAGGAAGAACATAGTATTTCACTTCATTCCAGCTTATGATCTTCTTCGTGTACCTATTAATACCTGGGAGCCTAAAGTGTTTCCAGATGCTTCAGTTCCAGTTGTAATGAATTTCTGGCTTGGCAGAGTCCTGTTCTTGTTTCCTTAGGCTGCTGTGGCTTTCGCAAACTAACAACATTGGAGTAGGGGCACATTTGCACTCCTTTATTATGCAACTTTTCTGTCCCACTGTCAGGGAGGAGGGTCTCTTCAGTGTGTGATCCAGCATCCTGAAGCAAGGCAGTACTTCAAATCCTAGCCTAGCTGCTTCAGATTGCTCTTCTGAGATGATTTCCCCTTTGTGAGCTCCAGGAGGAATCTCTACTTCTTAACATGGGTACCTAAGTTAAGATGTGTGGATAATCCTGCAGGTTTGTGCAAGGATGAAAGAGATCTGGCACATTTCAATGAGCAGGAAAGGGTGCCTCCTCCATGCACTTTCTAGGCCTTATCTGAAAGGCAGCTTGAATGGGGATGCGTGTCCCAGAAGCAGAAGGGTGTAAGCAAATGCTTAAGGATGAAGCGCTGAAAACTGAAGAGCTTGGAGAAATGCGTGAATGTGTCAGAGTACCTCAGTGACTGGGAGCTCAGTGTGTTGCCCAAGAGTGGGTTAATAATGTATTGGAAGGAAGGACAAGTCTGTGCCAGAAATCCATGTGCTTGACGTGTGTATAACATCACCCATGCATGTCACATTAAACACCTGCAAAAGTGCCAAGAGAATCAGAATCAAGTTGTTTATGCACAGCTCGTCACTGTGTTATTGTTCACCTTTGTTTGCTATGCCAGGGCTTTGTGTACTGTCTGCAATCTGTTGGAGGCATCTTTGATCAAACAAGTAATGAGCAGTAGTACTGCTCAGCCTGGCTTACTGCAGACTGACACTTTGGTAGTTGGCCGCTTAACTGCTGAAATTTCAAAGATGAGAATTAAACAGATCGTGACTGCTCACCTTGGATGAGTGGGTTGTTTCCTTCTGTGTGCTGCTCAAATACACAGGGTTGTGATTAGTTTGAGTTGTTGTAAACATCACTACAGAAGAGGAAGAGTGCAGACCAAAAGGCAAACATGTAGTCTGATTACGTGGGTGTCTATTTTTGTAATAAAACCTGGTGTTTTGTGTATCACTTCCTATATGTGACAGGATTTTGCTTCTTTTTTTTTTAATTTTTTTTTTTTTTTTTTAATGATGCAGCTGTCAGCAGATTTACAAACCTCATCCTGTCTCCGGGGATAGACAGTCAAAATCAACCCGACGTCAACAGCATCCTCGCAACTGAGGAACAGCCGAGTGCTGGGAAGCGAGGAGCAGCAGGTTTGCAAAGCGCTGGCTGTGCGGTGGAGAGAACAACAGTGCCACCTGATGCCGCGAGCAGAGACGTGCAAAGATGTACCATGGAAAGCAGCCGCCCCGAGGACTGCGTTTCCATCCCCGTCACCGATATCGATGACCTGGTCAGCCGGATGGGCGCTCCCGAGAGCAGGGCTTCACGCACCCCATCGCGAGCGGAAAGCCCCCTCCGAGAGGAGTACACGACGATGTGCTGCTGTGGGACCGACGAAGGTTGTCCGGGTTCTGAGCCACGAGTGGCCAAGGAGGATCTGTTGGAAAAAACTGTGAATTGTGGAGCTAACGCACAAGGGGTTTTGGGGCTGTCTGTGTTGGACACCATAAACACAGGCAAACTTTTTACTGTGAATAAAAACTCATTAAATAACTATTCTAGAAATTACAGCAGCTTAAATGAGGATGAGCCGCCTGCAGCAAACACTCTGGAAGGAAAGAGAAGCAAATCATTTCCAAAGTCCATGTATGGGGCTGCGGAGGATTCTCACTCAGACACAGAGTCTGTCACAGAAGCCTTTGATAGTGCTAATGAGGTGTTGCTTGGGTCCTGCACTACTGCTGCTGCTAACACCTCTGCAGTCTGTACTGTAATTGAGTCAGACGAGGAGCAGATTGAGATTTGTTGCATGAACAGTGAGCCTCAAAATCCCACACAGGAGCAGCATCTGTCATCTGCAAGACAATCATCCTCTGTGTCCCCACTGGACCCTTACAGCAGCAAGGGTTTACAAACTCAGAGCTGCGCAATGTGTGGGTCACTAGAGACAAGCATCAACAAACTAAGCTTAGAAGATCATGGTGGTTCCACTCCATGTCTTTCACAGTGTTCAGATGTGTCTTCTGCATCCTTGTGTTCTCCTGCCTCAGTTTTCCTGCCAGAAAAAAACATCCTAAAGAATTCAGTCAGTATTCCTGAAGTTTACTCTTTCTGTAACAACGGTGCCTTAAGTACAGAAGAAGAGATGGGTTTGGGAAACAGTAACAGACGTATGAAATGCTGTGAAACCATTGAAGAGGAAGGGTCTCTGCACTGCAAAAAGATAAGCTTCTGCTCTGCTAGGAATGTCAGTGGCTTGGAGAGCAACTTGCTTGAGAAAGAAGGGTATCATGATGAGCAGAGATCCAAATCTGAAAGTGAAACAGTGGTTGATGACTGTAATCATGCTGTTAGTTATTGCTTAGTGAAGAAAGAAGCCAGCGGTTTGTCCAACTTGTGTAAAACAGACAGCAATCATGTGAATGCATCGTCATCAAGAACATTATCTCTCAGGTCTCCTTTTCCCACTAAATCTAAAGATCCAAAGGCTAATACAACTCATGACTTGCCAGGGAAAAATGAGAAAACTAACTCTGTGACTTCAGGAAGGACTTCAAATGGAAAAGTCCAAAGCTCAGGCACAAACCACTGCAGAGGAGCTGCAGTACCGCACAGCCCATCCTCACAGAAGAAATCCTGTCAGGAATCTAAAGGAATGGCACAAAAAAGTATAATGGACACTCTTCTAAATAATCAGAAAGCCAAAGCAGGACCAAAGCTAAAAGGGTTCACCATCAAAGGCAAAGCAAAAGCAAATTCAGATTCTTGTGGCATTAGTCCTACCAAAGTCAGTGGGGTCAGTGGGGCTGATCAGAAAAGGGCTTCTGTTTCTCCACAGCTGTCCCCCAAACTCACGGGGAAGAAAACACCATTGTCCCGTAGTTCACCTACAAACTCAGATCCTGGCAAGAGCATTTCAGCAACCTCAAGGGCTCTGAAGTCAGAAAATAGACCATCTTTGGTCATTTCTGAGGACTCACTTCTGCCTCTCCTGAATGGCACCGGCAGCCCAAAAGCGAGTGGTGAAATGAAATGTGGCTCTGGGGAGCTACCAGACCTGCAGCAGGCATGGGGAAATCTAAAAGACAAACAAGTTTCCATGCAGCCTGCAGTGTGTCAGGGTAAGGGTGCTAAGGTGGATGATTTCAGAGCCAGAGACAGTCAGTCCAAAGTCACTTCATCTCATCAGGGGATGCCAAAAGTTGAATACATGAAAGGGAGGACTGAGAACCCTGGAACAGGCCTGAATGCAATCAAGAGCATCTATAGTGCAGATGACCTTAGGCAATTAGATCTGCAAAATGTAGGACCATCTGCTTCGTTCAGGTCTCCCTCAGTTCAGCAGGAACAGCTGGAAGGACAGGAGATCCAGCGGACTTTCATTGAGGTGAAGCTTTCCTCCTCAACGTCATCCTCTTCCTCCTCTTCCTCTGCCTCTTCCTCACCAGCATCATTTTTACAGCTGCCGTTGCTGGAGAAAACAGAAGAGGTGAACACAGAAGTGCCTCGTCTGGCTGAGGAAATGGGGACTATGCAATATTTCTCAAAAGCAAATACTGCCGGAGACAGAAGTCTCTATGGCTTGTCAAAGCCTGTGACAAGGACTTACTCGATGCCAGCCCAGTTATCAGGTCACTTGAGGGAGGAATGCCATGTTGCAGAGGGTAACTCTGTACAAGGCCCCCAGAGCCATGCTGCAAATGAGAAATACCCCCAGGCAGCAACAGGGATGTTAAAGACGGTCCATCTGAACCTCCCAAATGGCCAGAAGGAGCAGGCATACACCCCCAAGAGCACCCAGAGGGTCCATGACACATCACCCTCAGCCAGTGACATTAGCTGCCCCACTATCGATAAGCTGAGGAGCTTCAGGAGGAATTACTACTACTACGAGCTGAACTGGCCACATGAACCTATCTCATCCTTCTCCGTCAAACAGAGGATCAAATCCTTTGAAAACCTGGCAAATGTCGACAGGCCCGTCGTGAAGGCCATCGATATACACTCAGCCGTGAGGTCCCCTCTCGCCAGGAGGTCCTGTGGTGGGATGGTACCCACAGCCAGCCCTGCCGAGACACCACGGGCTTTGCGACGCAGCTTGAGCTCCTACGGCGGCAGCCCAAGCCCTGCCAACACCATGGCCAAGGCCCCCTCCAGCGCAGAGCCCATGCGTGTGGCAGAGAGCAGCGGGGCAGAAGGAAGGCCCCAGAGGAGCGAGGATGGTGGCACTGGCGCAGACACAGCCTCCACCTCACAGGCACGCCGCAGCCGGGGCCTGGGGCGTCCACCGCTGTCCCGTTCCAGGCTGCGGGAGCTGAGGGCCCTCAGCATGCCCGACCTGGACAAGCTGTGTGAAGACTTCTCCGGGCCACCACAGCCTGCTTGCTTCAAGACGGAGCTGGAGATCACCCCCCGCAGAGCCCTTGGCGTGCCTGCCCTGGGTGACACAGCCCCACCAGCCCGTGGTGGTCCCACGATGGGAACGGGTGTCAGCAGCCCTCAGGACAGCGGCTCGGGGACACCAGGCTCTGCATCGGATGATGACATGCCCCAGTGCAGCTCTCCGGATGGGGAGCACTCTGAAAACAGCTGGTCCATCAGGTTGGTGTCGGCTTTGCTCAGGCTCTTTCGTTTTCATTTCAGCCTCTCCTGAGGTGAAGCCTCCCCACTGCCTGTCCCAAAGCACATTTCAGGTCTGGCCACAGCCTCTATTCCCCTCTCAATCTGGGGTGAGTTCTTCATGTTCCTGATCACCAGGAGCTGCCATGCTGCTGTCTGTTGGTGGCTGTGCTCCTGTACTTCATCCTGGTATGGCTGGGCACCTTGACTCTGTCCCCTTAGCTGGGTTTGGTCAGGTTTTGGCCACATTACGGCACAGCAGCGGCTGTGGAGGGGAGACCATGCAATGCTGGTTGCCAGCACGCAGTGATAGGCAAGGTTGTTGTCCTGCCAAAACCAATCTTCAGATAGAGCTGTCTCCTTGTTTTTGTTAGTATATGTTGTTAAAACTATTGGGGAAGGAGAAGAGGAACTGACGAGGGACCAGTTTTCAGAGTTATTAAATGGTGTTCTCTGTCTCTTCCTATCCTACCAGCATACGCTATTTCTTGTCTGTTTTCAAGATTTCTGCTTATTAATGAGCTGACCTTTTACCCTAATGAGACCTCCAGTGTATACCTGAAACATGGTCTAGAAATATAAAGCTGTCTTTTATATTTTCCTGTTTATTTTAGCTTGGATCAGCTGCTTGTCTCAACCCTGGACCAGCAAAAACTGCAGTCTGTTTTGTCAGTTGTAGTACCAAAATGTGACATTGCTGCTATGCTCCAAGTTGTCAAAGCACAAGTAAAGGTAAAAAAATTCCAGAAGATAAAACTAGGTTATTGACAGCATTTTTAAGGGTTTTCTTAATGGCAGATAAAATCTCTTCCAAACAGTTTCAGACCTCCTTTAGTAGTCCTGTGGGTGGTTACAGTTGATGCTAGTTTTACTAATGCTAGTTTTTGAATGCCTGCTATAAATGTGTGTGTATAATAGATGTGAATAGTTTGTGTAAGAAAGAGTATTGTTTATCCAGTGCGAAAGCACTTCTGAGCCACAATAAATAGACCTGTTTTAAGTGGAGAAGTATGCCTCCATCTGAAGTCATCATTACAGCTGAGAACTACTGGGTTTGCCAATAATTGCACATCAGAGTTTAGCTTTCTACCAACCATCTGGGTCAGACTCGCTTTCACTACATTGCAAGGGAAGCTGTGTTCCTCTCTATGCCTAGAAGCACTCACCTTTGCTAGAAGCTGCAGTGATGGAAATTGAGTTTATTTTGTGTAATGCTGACTGGTAGCTTGCAACACCAGAAAGTGATTTGTGGAGTGTTTGTATGAAACTCCTGTGGTAAGTTGTACCACTTGTTCTGTGGTAAATGGTTATTGCATTAAAATAACCTGCTTAATTATCTAGGTGTTTAAAGAAGGTCTCCAAAGTGAAATGGATGCCAGGACATTACTTCCCTGTTCGCAGTGTTTGTGGAATACATCCTCCCTTTAAAATCAGAAGAGAAGTTGATAAAATAACAACAGCACAGGAGGGAAAACTGCCATCTGGTCAGCATAACTGCTGGCTGAGCTACGTTTAAAGCACTCCCGAGTCTTATTCACAAAGGTTGCTATTTCAAATGTGGAACAGGCTGGGGGTGAACAGGACCTCCCCATAATACACAGCTTTACCTCCTTCCATGGAGAGTGTAGCCAGAGCTTGCAGGTCCCAAGATCTTGGTGAGCCAAGAGGGTTTGGTAGGTTTACTAATAAAATTAGGATCGTATTGTATTTCTGGCCAAAGTTAATTAAGCATTCTATAAATTGTTTTGCATGGGGTCTCGGAGAGATTATTTATTTATGCCACTTTTCAAAGCTAGAGAACAAAAATGTTTATAAAGCTGAACACTTTTTGGAATGCACTCGTTGTCTGCGTAATTTCTCATCCACGTTTAATCCCAGTATGGCATGTACACTGGAAAATGTCATGCTACTCAAATGCTGGATTTAAATGTACAATAGGACAGTTCTTCATAGTTACGCAATTGCTGAAAAATGAGATGGACTGCCTGATTGAAACTGAGAGCTTCCCTGGAAAGAATATGTCATCATCTTTTGCTCTGAACAAGGCTGAATTTACTGCTAGCATTTAAAGAGTGCTACTACTAAAAAAAATAAGTAAATGGGAATATACAGGCATTTTATTATTTATATCTGTATGACCAATGATCTTTGGCTAACAGGCTAAATAAAGATAATCACTGGAGGCCTTGTGTGTCTACTGTGTGGCCAAGTAGAGCAATTAGCATCCATAGCCAGGTCTTTGTGCCCCACAGCACACATTTAGCTGGGGACAGCAATGACAACGGGGGAGGGAGGAAATGCATGATCTCAACAACTGGAAGAGAGGATTCAGGCTGTATTGCTGACTGGCCCAGGACATGTAGACCTCACACAGCTCTCTGACGTCTGAGCCTCTGTTATTTCTGTTTTCTTTCCCAGTGTAAGCAGAGTAAGTTGTGGTAGCGAGGGTTGGAAAGAACTTGACCTTTTGAACAAAAAGGGTTACTAAAATACTTAATGATCAAAGATACGTTTATGTTTTCCTTACCCTCACTGCATTTTGAAAGGGGCTAGCCTAGTATTTTAACTGATTTTGTTATTTCTAGCCTAACATAAAGTTATTCTCGAGTGCAGTTGAGAAGGGTCTTAATATCTACAAAAGACTGTGGGCTAAGAAGTTCAGCCCTGAGTGCTCCTCTCTCCTCAAGCACTCATGGACCAGTGATGTGGAGCCAGGTGTCATCAGTTTCTGAAACTGATTCTATGAATTGCAAGGATGCCTCTAATGCAGAAAACTTTCCAGGGCCACTGTTAGCGCACAGCAAGACCAAGTATTTTACCGTTTTTTCACAATCTGTGGTTCCCTGTGCTATTTCAAACAAATAAAAGGCAAACACTGAGTTAAAATATTGAGTTTAGTGAATTAAATGTGTCATTTCATGCTAAAAAGATTATAGGTTAGTTTCTAGTGACGTTCCATTAATTTTAGCGTTAGCAGTTTCTGGAAATGACTGATGTTGGATCGAAAAAGCTGAGACCCCTGCTTTCTACTCTCCGCTTCTCATGCTATGCCTCACTGAAGTTTAATAGCCCCTTGCTACACCAAATGCCTGCTTATAGTCCCCCTTACACAATAAATTTGTGGTTTCTGTAATAGTGTCTGGTTTTGTCCTAATAACTGTTCAGAAGACAGCGCCAGACTTGTTGGATGGGACGACTTCTTTCTTGTAGCAAATTCTGTATTTTGGCAGCAGGCCATCCCTTCGAAGAAATCGGCTTTACACCTATGCTCTGGTCTGGAGCCAAGTTCAGCCCTGCACCAGTCCCTTTCCTGTGCTAGGTACTCCTGTTACAACAGCACAGCTTAGTCCCCTTTGGATCATTAACAAGCTCATAACTTTCATCTTCCAAGTGAAACAGTTTTTCCTGCTGTCCCATCTAACCTCCTCCAGCTTCAATTTGTAGCCACTGACCCTGTCCAGCACTGCCGAGAAGAAGGTAATGCAATTGCCCTGCATTACATCTTTGTAGCTGCCTTTCAAGGGGAAGGAGAAATCAATAGCAAAAGTGTTAGTAATTCACTGGAAAGTACAGTGCTTGGTCCAGAAATTGGATGGAGACTTCTTAGTTTTGACTGCAAAACGTCAAGTTGGTTACAAGCCTGTGAAAATTAGGCTGCTCAAGGTTTAATGCCCTTCCACCATCTTAATTTTGCTTCCCAGCCTTGAACTGACTGAAGAAACCTTTTCTGTCACCTGAGGAGCTCTGTATGCCTGCTATTCATCTGTAGAGAGCAGAAACGCATTTAATGTCTCAGTTTCAATTCCTTGAATTGGGTACTGAGAATTTGTTATTTGTGCAGGACCTTGGTCTTGATCTTTAATTTTTGTTTTCTTCTCCTTTCCCATCCTCTCCACCTCCATTTTTCTGCTAGAGCAAAGAAGACACATACTTTGTAGTCTTGCACAAAGAAGAAGGAGCTGGCCTGGGATTTAGTGTTGCTGGAGGAACAGATCTGGAACAGAAATCGGTCACAGTAAGTCATGGCTACAAGTCATTTTTTTAGAAAGCTCACTTTAAGCAATCTGGTGATTAGATCAAGTACCCATTTATCAAGTCATTCACAGTCATAAAACTGTGTCTCTCAGAGGTGGCTGTATACCATCTGCCAGTGAAATCAGTGTCTGGAAGTGTAATTTTTATTGTTGGAGATAGATGCCAAGTATGTCTTCAGTCTTTAAAAGTCTGCTACTGGATGGGATTAGCTAGATCTGAATCTTCATTCCCAGCCCTTGAAGGTAAACTCCACAGCAAAGTTTTTGAAGGATTTTGCAAATCCTGTTTCAGATGTCAGCAAACGTTTTGGATTTCATATCACAAATATGTTCTGGTGTTATTAAGACCTGCGGGTGGTCAGTAAATGATGGAGTTGGGGTTTTTTTTTAAGCATATACTTATGTATATTAGGTATAAATACAAAATATTATGTATTTTATGTATAAGCATATAATGTACAGCATTCTGAACCAAAGGTATTTTGTGGTGCCATTAAGTGATGTTGGTATGTAAAAAGTCATGCAAAGCACTTTTTGTACTGTTCAAAACCAGGTAAGTGAGATGGAAAAATATAAGACAACCAGTGTCACATAAGATAATTTGTTTACAATGTCTTTACAGACAATTTAAATTCTGTGCTGAAAGAGAGAGATTCATTAAGTTCTGAGATTAGAAGGAGGGTATGTCCTCAGGTCTTTGGGCCCTGCAGCAGCCCTTGAAAGAATCTTTTGGGTTTTGGTCTTAGACAAGACCAATGGTGAGACACTGGAACAGGTTGTCCAGAGAATTTGTGGGTGCCTCATCCCTGCAAGTGTTCAAGGCCAGGTTGGATGGGACTTTGAGCAACCTGGTCAAGTGGAAGGTATCCTTTCCACTAGGGAAGGGAGGTTGAAACTAGATGAGCTTTAAGGTCCCTTCTAACCCAAACCACTCTATGATTCGATGATATGATTCTCTGAAACATATTTTACATTAAGCAGTGGTTGAGTTAGAACGTTGTCACAGTCTAGGAAACTTTACTTATACTTCTCTTGTAGCAAAGGTTGTGTTACCTGTCTCTGGGCCAGCAACTTGCAGTGGCAGCTGCCACCAGGAGGAAGGCTCAACAGTGTCCCACCTCAGAGACTGGGAAACTAACTAAAATTAGGATCTTGATCTCTCTCAGGCTGAGTAGCTAATGAAATCTTTCTCCTGAATGCCATTAGCCATGAGACCAAAACAATGTCAGCTCCTCCTCTTTCTAGATCCTCTTTGTTCACTGTGTGTGAAGCATGCTTCTTGGGTAGGGAGCCATTTTAATGTCCTTGACCTACTGGGGTTCTGGGTCCCCCACTGGATTTAGGGTTACCACTGGCTGCTGAGCTGCTTAGGTGGGCTGTTCTGCCCACGCTTGGGTGCAGAAATAGAAATGCCTAGTGAGCTTCAAGGTACTGAGGAGTTGAGCATCTGAGGGAAGGCAGCAGGACACAACCCCTGTATTCATTTACCTCTTGCATTTGGATGTCAGTATATGTTATTGAAGCTGTTATTCCAGCGTTGAGTATCTGCTTAGGCTTGCTAGAGATTTATGTCCTTGGATCTGCAGGGTTGTGGCAGGTGCCCATCTCAGCATGGCCCTGCAACAAGAGGGAACAGGAGCCAAAAGGCATCTGATTCCTTGCTGTTAATCTGGGTATTAGGATAAATTCCTAGAGAAAATGCCATGCAGAATTGTGTCCGCAGATTTGCTGCCTCAAACCACATTCTGGCTGCTAAAATTGCAGTGCCTTATAGGCAAGTCTTTAAATACAGGGTTTTGAGTCTTTCAGGCAGTTCCTTTCCGTAAGTGGCACACATCTAAGTCTCAGCTGCACTTGCTGGATTTTACTTGAAGTTGAATCTGCTGTCTTTTGTGGAGGTTTTTTTGGGTTTTCTTTCTCTAGAAAAAAATCATTTCAATCCAGTGAATCATCCCTTTGCATCTATTTGCATGGCATTTATCAGCCAAATTGAGATGTTCAGCTATATACTTGTACAGCTGCAGTCAGAGCCTTTCAGTGCACAGATGCTATGCACCACTTAGAAGTGTGCATTTGAAAACAGCACAGGATGCATGTCCTAGTCAGTGTGAATCTGGGGCGTGGGTGTTGCACACTGCAACTCTGTTCTTTGTGTTTGCTGTAGCACAGCTATGGGTTTAACCTGTTACTTGAAGTATGTTAACTGAAGACTCTAAAGAGTTCAGTGATGGTATAAGTGATTTGTGATGTTACACGTTTGTGATGTGTCCTGGTTTGTCTGGGGATAGAGTCAATTTTCTTCCTAGAATCACAGAATCAACCAGGTTTGAAAAGACCTTTAAGGTCACCAAGTCCAACCATTACCCCAGCACTGACAAGTCCACCACTGAACCATGTCACTAAGGGCATCTACATAGTCTCTGAACACTTCCAGGGATGGTGACTCCGCCACATCTCTGGGTAGCCTGTCAATGCCTGAACACCCTCTCTCTGAAGAAATTCTTCCTAATATCCGATCTTAGTGCAACTTGAGGCTACTACTTCTTGTCCTATTACTTGTTACTTGGGAAAAGAGACCATCCACCTCCCCTCTCCATCCTCCTTTCAGGTAGTTGTAGAGGGCGACAAGGTTCCCCTTGAGCTTTCTCTTCTTCAGACTAAACACCACCAGTATCCTCTGCTATTCCCCACAGGAGTTGTGCTCCAAGTAAAAGTAAAGTAGCTGGGTAGAGGGTAAAGTTGCTGGTACAGTGTTGCGTTTTGTATTTAGGGTGGCAATAATCTTGGTAACACACCAATGTTTAGTTGTTGCCAAGTAGTGTTTATGCTAAGTCAGAAACTTTCCAGCTTCTCATGCCCTATCAGTGAGAAGGTTCAAGCATCACAAGAAGTTGAGAGGAAACATAGCCAGGACAGCTGACCAAAACTGTCCAAGGGATATTCCATACCATATAAAGTTGTGCTCAGCATATAAACCAGGGACAGTTTTCTGGGGAGGGGTTGATTGTTGCTCATGGATGGGCAGGGAGCGAGTCAGTGCTTGGTGAGCAATTTTACTATGCATCACTTGCAGTTTTATTGCTGAATTTTATTTCTCTTTTTGTTTTCTCCCTTTTCATTACAATTATTATAACTAATATTAGTATTATATTGTACTTGTAGTTCTTAAACTGTTCTTACCTCAACCCGTGCATTCTACTTTCTTCTGATTCTCCTTCCTATCCCACCATGGTTGGGAGGAGTGAGCAAGCAGCTGCGTGATGCTTTGTTGCCAGCTGGGGTTAAACCATGACAATTCTCTAAGTGGTTTTGATTGTCTTTGGGTTAGAAATAACCATGCAATAATAGCATCTTTTCCTCTACTTCCCCCCCCATCCTGAAATGCAGTTTTTGTCCAGTCACTTAGGCTTTAGTATTTGAGGATGTTTGTTGGAACAAATGTCGTGTGCTTGATATCTGGGCAGTGGGCGCTGGTTGCAAACATCTGTTGCCCTTGACCACTAGAGCACTCTGTGTGGTCATGAGGTTAAAGCATCCTGAAGTTAAAATCTTTCTTGTAGGTCCACAGAGTGTTTTCAAAGGGAGTGGCATCTCAAGAAGGGACTATTCGTCGGGGAGATCTTGTTGTGTCAATCAACGGCAAGTCTCTTGAGAACTCAGTCCATGGGGATGTCCTGACTACTCTTCATCAGGCAAGACTGTACAGATATGCGGTCATTGTCATCCAGAAGGAAAAAGACAAGGCAAACAATCCCTCCAGACTTGAGATATCAGCTACTGGCAGAAAATGTGTGGGGTCTGGAAAGGATGTTTCCATGGAAATGGGAACAGGTATGATCTTTGTCCAAGAACAGTTGGAAGGATTCCCTTGCAGAGCAGACTGAAGGAAAAACGTCCATGTGTTTTAGATTAAAAGCATCTGTGCCTTATGTGATTGAAGGGAGCAAATGAAATTACCTTTAAATTTTAGGCTGCAAAGTCTCTTTGGAGCCTTAAATGCAGTTTGGGTTGGGTTTTTTAAAATATCATAACTAGGGAGAAACTTAAAAGGGCATTTAGGGCCTAATCCAATTTCTACTAAAGTTAGTGATTCCACATGTTACTCCAATCCAGGATAAACTCCTTTTAAGTAATAACAGTAGTCAGTGCAAGAAAGCAACCAACCAAAAAAAAAAAATCCAAACAAAAAGCCCCAACAACTTCAAGGAATATCTCAAACCCTGCAGTTTGTTATACGTAGAGACTAAACTTGCTCTTTGTAATAGCAGATTTCATACTGTTTCTACTAAAAACGTAGAAAAATTATTTGATATTACAGTAAGTGGAGCTAAACCCAATTGACGTCAGCCATCAAGTAGGAAACTAGGGGTAAGTAAGTGAAAATGTATCAGTGGAATAGTAAGTTCTTATTTGGGAATAAGACAGCATTCCAGTGTGAAGGCTGCGCATAGGGTGTTACAAACATAACTCTCAAATTGTTTGTGGAATTAAGACACAACTTAGTACCTGTATCCTTCAGTCCTGCTCTGCTGTAGTGTCCCAGGGAGGGAGTGGGCAGTGGCTACAGCTTATTCTGAGAGGCTTGTTGATGTGGCTTCCCCTGCCTTCCAGGGCAATACTAGGCACTCTGCTCAGACCCCCTCAAAACCAGGATATAGAGCTGCCACTCACCCAGCTTTAACCCGTTGGGCATAATCACTACTATTTGTAGCAGTTTTTCACTGCTTTCACTGCATTTTATAATACAGCTTAAAAGAAATACGAAGCAGTCTGTAAATGAATGGATCAGACTTTCTGGAATTGCTCCCATGGATATAATATATGTAATTAATTCAGAATTACATTGTACCCGAAACTCCCTGCTTCTTCACGTTGACAGATGCAGACTGTCTGCTGGAAACAGGCACTAGGGGGCAACGTTATCGCATAAACAACATGCTGCCGGGTTATTAACAACTTGTTTCCATCCTGTGAGGCAAAGCGCATCTTCAGATGTTTTAGATAACATTTAAAGTTGTCTGAGATAATGGTAGCAGTAATTTGTGATAATGCAGACTGCATAATTTTTGCATTCACACAGGGCAAAGAGGGCCTTGTTTTCCAAAATCATAGATCTGTTTCCCCATAAGCAAAATAATATTTTGTCAGCTACAGCAATATTGTATTCTAAAAGTATCTGCTGTGTAAGGATGCACCCTGCAGGTATTTATGGTTATTTTCATAGATATGAGACTAGAAACACTGGTGAAAACTTCACACTGGTGAGTGATTACGGATGTTTCTTAGAGAGGATAGAACACGTTTGTTTACTGTAATATTTCATGTATTACTGTTATTTAAAAATATGTGGTTCATTGAATAAACAATAGGAACAAAAAGGGGAAAGAAATGCTCTCCACTCACTGTTTTTGTACTTTTTCAGTTATTTTGTTGATATTTAGAGTCTTTGCTAAATTTGCTAAACTTTAATGGGGGGGGGGGGGGGGGAGGAGGGAAGGGAAAGCTGTGGCAGGTGTTTGTTGAACATATAAAATTAAAATATCTCTGTGCATAAATGCATTTTGTACTGTGTCCCCTTCACAGCTGCAATAATACACATTCACTTCTGAGAAACTGGGTGGCAACATGTTCTGATCTGAATATGAACTGAACTCTGACTTGCTTTGTCACTGCAGCAAAAACAAACCCAACCAAACACAACTTGCAATTTACTGTTAACTGTGTAACAATATGTTATGTGTATATTCAGATCCAAACCTGGATATGAATGATGTCATCTGCGTTGAATTGCTGAAAACCTCTGCTGGCTTGGGATTCAGTCTTGATGGTGGAAAAGCTTCCATTGCTGGAGATAGGCCCTTGCTTGTGAAAAGAATATTTAAAGGTACTATAAGCGTGCAGTGAATATTATCCCAGTTTTCCTTTACTGCATTGTACAGACATTTTAAATCTTGGGGTCATTATTTTTCTTGAAACAGGAGTTGTTTTTGTGGTCCTCGTTTCTTACCACTTACTAGCCAAAGTGGTCATTTAAAGAAAACTCCCGGGATTGCATCTGCTAGTAAATGTTTGTGAACCAATCTGATTTACTAAATATGATGTAGTTCCTTCCTGGGCTTGCCCACTATTCTTAGACATTAAATTACAGCAGTGATATCATATATAACAGTTTGAGAAGTTCATGCTTTGCCCAGTTCTCTTTTCTAAGAAAACCACAGTGCAGATAATCAGTGTGGTTCTGAAGCACCATCCTGCATTATACCCAATTATTATACCTTTTTTCTTTTTTCTTTTTTTTTTTTTCTTTCTGTTAGATATCAGTGTTAACTTTCACTAAGATATGTGATGTTGGTATTCAAAAACTGCCACTCTTGGATGCTTTGTGTGTCAGCGGGTAAATAAACTTACATGAACTGTGCATAGAAAGGGAACTGCCTGATCCCAGAACTATGCTGTCATTTTAATATGTCTTAGTCTGTGATTCACTTCAGTGAAAAATACAGCACTTTCTAAAGGAAGCTGAAACTCTCAAAGAAGCTGCAGGTGCACAGCATTTTTTGCAGGATTACTTTTCTGTGGTTTATTCTCTCATCAAGGAAGAGAAAAATCACACTGTTATTTTCTGAATTGCTCTGAATCATTTTTTGCCAGTGTGTTTGGTTTCCCCTCTTTAGAAAATTATTCTAAGGGTAAAGGGTATGTTTAATTTTTGAGCTTATTAATTTATATCCTTAGAAACAGTCCTTCTCCCCTCCCTGTGATGGCTGGTGTTAGTTAAATTATCTTTATAGAAAACATAATTTCATCACCAGTCAAGGGTGCGCCCCTCTGTAGGACCTGTTTCTGTGTCTGGTGTGTTTGTCCTAAGTTTGCTGTATTTCATTTGTTCATTGCTGTTACCTGGGTTTTACAATCTACTGCATTATTTGCTTATTAAAATTCCATTAGAGAAAAAACCTCCAAGCCATATACAACCTCTGTGTTTGTTTAATCAACCATGTTTTCATACAGCTACAGAGATAATGTACAGCATATTTCATGCACTCATACTGCTTCCTTCAAAAATGGATGTTTTTCTGAGAACAACAATTTATCTTGGTTAAAATAATGTTTTCTGTGAGGTGCAGCCTGGGATAGGTTGCTGGAGCTGAGCTGAGCATAAGTGATTTGTACTGAAATTGCCACTGTTGGGAAAAATGGTTTATTTGCTGTTCATCACAGTGCAAAGCAAAATTTTAATTTTTGTGGGTTTACCTTTTTGTGTGTGTGTGTGTGGTTTTCTCGGATGTGTGCTCTTGCATTGACTTTTTTCCTCTTTTGCTCCTAGGTGGTGCTGCGGAGCAGTCTGGAACCATAGAAAGTGGAGACGAAATTCTTGCTGTTAGTGGAAAATCATTGCTTGGTCTCATGCATTACGATGCCTGGAACATTATTAAATCTGTGCCAGAGGGCCCTGTTCAGTTACTAATCAGAAAACACAGAACTTCAGTGTGATAGAATCACTACATCTGATCACACTTACTAAGACAAAACCTTTAAACCTGGCTAGAAGCTTTGTTTCTAAAGCCACACAGAAGTGTCTTAATGCTCTACAGAGAGGTGCTAAGAGCCTTGAAGAACCACTGAGCAAGGATGTGATGAGCATCATAAAATCTCACCTAATTATAGAGGATGAAGGAAGCCAAAAGTTAGAGACATTTTTGTATTATGTGGCAGTTTTAATGGAACTTCAAGACCTCTCCTGGGTTTGATTTAAAGTATTTTAATCACAATAAATAACACTGTGCCTGTCCCTGATATTTTAGAATCTGCAGAGCGTTGGGAGTATAACTTGTTGGTTGCCATCCTGTTGACAAGGATGAGTATTTAGCCTGTACTATATTATGTAGCTGTAATAAGACTTCAGGATACTTACCTAGGGTTTGGTCCTTTTTTTGTTGTAATAAGAGAATGTCTGGAACAATCTCACTTTATTCTTCTAAGTGCAGTTTTGCTAAGAATGCATGACAAAAGAGTATAATTTTGCACAACTTTTATGGCTAAAACATGAGCATTTTATTGCAAAGCTGAAAAATCCTTTTAAAACTGATCAACTAACTCAGTATCCACCACAACTGAATCTGCTCTTGGATGCAACTTGTATCTGAAAGCACTTGACATTAATGCAGTAGAAATTTGTGAGCAAGAAAATCATGTCCAAATGATAGGTGATTGTCCACAAAGGGGTAGACTGAGATGTTAGTTGTGATTAAAATGAGAGCAACAAAAATTGGGGCCTGAATTGTCAAATTTAGGCTTTTAATGTTAGGCACCTTTAAAACACATATATTTTTAAAAGAGAGAGAATTTCAAGTGCAGAGCACTTGTGCATCCCACAGACTTCAGCTACAGCTAAGTACGTCACAAAGCCAGGCTGCTTTTTTTTGGCAGCAAGAGAATTAAGGCTGCCTGACTTGAAAGACTCAGGCTGGAGAATGGCAGTCTAGTAGGGATTATAAGAGATTAAATCTGAACTGGATGTATTTGTGGGTTTTAATCGCTCTTTTTTGTTTTCTCCTGTCCAATACCTATTTTTGCTTGTGTGAAACTGGGTAAGGAAGTTTGTGGAACATACAAGTGCACCCACCTGCATCAGGAACAGGCTGATGCCTGAGGCTTTTGGGTGATGAAACTGAAAACTGTGTAGATGGGAGAAACCATGAAGTTAGATACAGCAAAACTGAAAGGGTTGCTGTGCTATGGATGCTTACTTTGGATTTTCTCACCTCTACTAAACAGCAGGGGTATCAGTAGCAAGCCATGCTACTGTTACTTACAGTCTGCTGTGTTGGGAGGAAAGTGTATGGTGCAAAAGATTAGACTCTGTTATTTCTCTTTGTACATCTGGGATAGCTAAACAACATAAAAGAAATGCAGGAGGAAATGGGCCAGTGTCCTTATCAGCTGAGAACAAGTTGTTTGTTCCAGAGTGTTCAGGTTGTTTGTCGTGGTAGGCTGAAGACTGCTTGCAGCCAGCATGCCCAGCATGAAGAGCTTTCAGCCTGAAACCAGTCCAAATCTGACATGCTGCCTACATTCATAGTAAGCCAAGACACTATGTAGCTGTTACAAAAAGGTCTGGGCTTGTTGCTTGGCCCTACCCCAAGACCATACTATAGTTCAGTTTATTTACATTCATTCCACAGTGAGTACTTGGAGCATATGCTCCCAGGTTACTGGAGCTCTCACTTTGGTTCATTTCTGTGACAGCTTCATTAGCCTGCAACTCATGATGTGCAGAGGAATATTCAGTTCTGTGAGGCAACCAGATGAGCAAAAAAGATGTGCAGTGTTTGCTAAAAACGAGCAGATTAAATTCTTTTTCAGTGACATATTAGCATGTGAATCCAGGAAGAGATGCCACTTTGGTTACAGGAAAGGGAATACTGTACTGCTTTGCCTGCAGGATTTCTGTTAAAACTAATTCAGGTTAAGTGCTGTGAAATGACTCTGGAGTTGGGTCACCTGTGACCCCAAAGCTCAGACACTCTGTCAGGACTGGTCCTTGCCTCTGGTCACCTTTGTGGTGGGAGAAGCTTCAGGAGGATGCAGCACTTGGGGTCAGAGGATCACACTGAGGTTGCAGGCCTGCACTGGGATAAAAAAGGTTACCCTTGCATATTTGCTGAAAACAGGGAGAAGACATTTGGCAATGGCAATTAAATGGTGAGGCCTTGTTCAGGAGTGACCAAAATCTGACTGTAATAGCGTGTATAATAGATACATAAAATGCATGTGGAATTTAATGCAGCGTAGTGAGTACATACCTGTATACGTATAATACGTACAAGTGCAGTACTGACTTTTTGCTATTTTAATGTGGTAAATCAGAATCGTGTTTTAGGAAATGGCTTTTTTTTTTTTTTTTCCTTTTTTCAGTCCACAGTTTAAAATTTTGGAGGTTCCAACATGGGGAGGTGTATGTCTCCCTCACTCATAAACTGGTGTAGCTCAAAGGTAAAGTCTTCATTTTGTAAATTAAGCTCAATTTGAGGTGTCCTAAGATGATACGTGGTGAGTATTTTCAGACGCTTATTTGCAGGTACTGTTCATTGTGAGTGATTTAGAAGGCTTTCATTTTTCAGTAACCAAGTACTGTTCAGTATTTTATTTTACATGCACGTAGATATGTGTTGGCTGAGTAACAGCAAGGAAAAGCGGGGATTTTTTGTGTGTGATTCAGTAGTGGCTATAATTTAAAAGATAGGTTTAATATTTTAAGTCTGATAGTTACTATGGGGTAGAATGGTACACTACTAACATTAGAGCAAGAAAAAGAATAGTATTTAACCCTGTTTCTGTTCCTGAAAATACTTTTTGTGTGTGTGTGTGTAAAAGAACCAAAAAACATCTTTACAGATGCTAGCAGTGTTGATACAATTACAGTAGCATTTCCTGATGTCTTTGTGGGGGGGACTTTCCCTATAAGGCCCCAGGAATTGTGCAATATGGGTGTCTGGTTAGATCAAACAGATGTAGTGAACCTCCAGTTATGCACCTGGCAAAGTCAATGTTATTTTTCCGAGAGCCTGGTTGCACTAAGATGACAGAGGGCGTTGCATTAGTTCATCAGTATTCAGTAGGTTCATGAGCATTTTTGGCCCTGGTGTTTGTGTATCAGTCCCCACGGTGATGCTTTTCCATGCCACAGGGCTGGCCAAGCTCTAGGAGAGTGTAGACTCTACGGAGATTGCAGCTGCATCTTGGAAGACCAAAAAAATCAGGATGAAGTTATGCACTTGGTTCACAACCCTACCAGGGACCTGAAGGCATTCAGATAAGGTGAATTTGCTCTTAGATGGAGGAGGTCTGGTGGATGCCTTTGCCATTCCCAGGCCTGGGGCAGCTCAGAGTGCGCATCCTGGATATGAGAGTGGGCTCCGGTGTGATACTGCCATTGCATATTCTGCAGCCTTTCGTGCCTGGAAATTCTGTCTGGGTTCTGTGGGGACCACATCTGAATTAAAAACTGTGAGATTAGGCCTGAATTAGGGAGAGAACATCTGAGTACTTTCTTGCTAAAAAAATAATACGAGTTCAGATAAATATTAAGAAGCCTGTTGAGTGATTTGTATTCTCTAATGACCTTCGCTTAAAATTAACTCTAGTTAATTTTAATAGTTCTGCAGTGGTTCTTGTCAAAATCTGAATGAACTGCGTGCAGATGGGGATATTTACCTGCTTCTATGTTTAGGGTATGTAAATGTACAAGTGGAAATATTGATGAGCAGTAGACTAGATCATGTGAGAAATGGGGATCCCACTGTACTTGGTTTTTGTGTGTTAGGCTGATACACTTATTGTATGATACTGTATATTTACACTTTTATTTATATAAATAAAACTTCTTAATGAAAACTGTTTAATATGCCTTGTATATTATAAAAAAGTGAGTGCAATAACATGAAATAGATTGTACATTTTTCAATTTGCTGTCTCTGTTATGTAAATCTGTATCTCCATAAACTGTTTTGTTTGGGTTTTTTAGTGATTTTGAAAATAAATGGTATCCTTAGTACTCCTCTAGATATTTATTTCTCTTATGCCAAAGTCTGTCTGCTCCACAGCTGGAACTGGCATGGCAGGAGCAAGGTTGTTGGGGAGAGTGCAGTGAAAGGCTAAATGTTAATGCTTTCCAGATGTGCATCTAAGCTAGAAATAAAAAAAAACACCCTCTAAGAACTGTCATTCAGTGTTAAGAGGATTAAAGCATTTAAGAAGTGTTACAATATGTGTTATAACGCCTGCTTTGCTATCTCGGAAGCTGTGCTTTGTTTTTTCCTGCTAGGAAAATGCAGAGGGCAAAGGTGAAATGAGGAGTTTTCATCAAGAGCAGCAGTCTCTGGAGCACATTGTGTATCAGTTTATATACCTCCTGCACAGCCCCCGGGCTATAAGGTGTCTGGTTGTATGTGTAGGGAATAAGTACATACAGCTCGTCCTAGCCTGGTATTTGTTCTTGTCTTCCACCTGCCCCAGTGATAACACCAAGCTGGTAGGATGAGCTGGGCTGGAGACAGCCTCTCTGTGAATGGTTGGAGATGCAGAGGAGCTCACAGTGGGAGGTGGATGCTATAACCTTCCAAATGGGAAAGTTTGCATTGAGTGTTGCACCTTTCTGCAGACACATCTGGCTTCACTGTCACTGCACAGCATCTTGATGCAAGCCTGTCTCCCAGAATGATGAGGCAGCCCAGAAAGCCCTCCTCACACTGCTCTGACACGGGGAATGCCAGAGGTGCCCAAAATGCCGCGCTGCCTAGCACTGCACAGACATGTCAGCTGCTCAGTGCGGGGTGAGCTGAGCTGGAGGAAGGAGCTTGTGAGTTAAGTGTTTATATCCATGTCACAAGCCCATGTGCTGGGTTGGGCACTCATGGCTGGAAACTCCCACCGAGTTCATAGCACAGCACAGTACAGTCCTGTCCTCTCCTTGGTGCACTCACAGCGTTTGCCTGCATCTCTCCTGCCATGCCTTACAAACCTCACCATTTCCTGTGGTGCATCATGCCGCCTGAAAAGGATGGGTGGGTTTTTCTCTGAGGGGAGGAAGGAGTTTGCTTTCCCATGCTGGTAGCATGGAGGGTATTTCCCTCATCTCCAGGCTTGTGCCACAAAAGCTGCTGTGTTTGCTTTCGGTTTCCTTCTCCAGGCACCACGATTCAAAGGTGCAAGTGAACAAGAGTCACATGAGGAGGTATAAGCTCCAGTGGTCCTGCTGACTCACGCTGCCGGAAAGGCTGCCATGTCGGGCTCCCAGCCTGCCTCACGGGCACCCTTCCTGAGCTGGAGGGGAAAAGCTGTGTGTATTCCTGGTTCCTATCTGCAGTTGGACCCCTTTTCCCCACGTCCTTCACCCTTACAGACAGCTGTGATGAGGAATGCTATGGATCCTGTGTTGTTGCACAGATGGGAAGGGGATGGATGGGAGGTGTGGGTTGGTGCATGCGTACCCCTCGAGCTCTCTCTGGCGCATCTATCCCTGACTGGAGCCTGGCTTCCCCTCAGAGGCTGTATGGGGGAAAGAAAAAAGACATTTTTAGCCATGAAGATCTCTGTTTTCCCCTCTGCCCTCCTGTCCTCAGTGCTGGGCCAGCCCAGCCCCTGTCACCTCTTCCAGTGACTCCCCTGTACCCATCCTCCTCTCTACCCTTCTCTTCCTTTCTCTTAGTGCATGTCTCAAGATTCAGAGCGGCCTGGCTCTTGTAAGATCAGTCTTGAGCATCTTTAATTAAAATCTTAATTGCCCCAGACAGTGGCTAAGAGGAATACAAAAGCGAGAAGACACAATGGACTTAATCCATAAGTGGATTAATACATGAGAGTTCATTTATCCATTAAGACATGTGAAGTGGTAAAAGAATTATATTTAAGTTTTCTCTAACTCAGTTGTGTTTTGGGTATTAAGCTTTTTCTGAAGGCCTCGGGGCATAGGCAAATGGGGAACTTGGAACAGAAGGCAAGAACTGTTTGCAGTTTTGGGCACGGCTGGTTTTTATTCCTGTATTGCTAACAGACAGAGCCCTAAACGAAGTATGTACGGACACCTACTTAGTTGTTTGCAATCAGGTTTATCATTCTACCTGCAAAGGTCTTGTTTATTTATTTTACATCTTTGCCACTCTCCTGTTCCCTGTTGGCATCCCATGTGTCTCTTGGCGTGGCTATTCATGGTTCCTGTACTGGTTTAGGCAGGTTGCCTTCCCAATTTACCATTATGTGTGATAAGAGTGGTGAATGAATTCCTTGTTTTGCATTGTGAGCACAGCTTTTGCTTTACCTATTAAACTGTCTTTATCTCAACCAGTGAGTTTTCCCACTTTGACCCTTATAAATCTCTCCACCATCCCTCCAGGGGAGAGTGAACAGCTGGATGAGGGGTGCTTAGTTGCTCACTGGTGTTATACCATGACAGATCCAAAATCTCATCTATTTCCAGGAATGTGTCCAAACTGCCACTTTATCACCTTTGACGGAAGCTCATGGTCTCTGCCTCTGTTCCCATGCAGGGGTGGTGTGAAGGAGAGCCCCCTAAGGATAGGTTCCCTATGGCCCTCCACAGAGCTGGTGGCTGGGCAGGAGCAGGGCACACTGTGGCTGGGCAGGATTCCCATGTGTACAGGAAAGTGATGCTGCAGCGCAGCATGTGCCTGTGATGACAAGGGGAAGCAAAACCTCCTCAGGCCACAGGCCTGAGCCACACTTCCTAGTGCCCAAAGCCACGCAGGCTCAGCCCCAGAGCCAGCTATAGGGCATGTCCACCTTACTGCCTCCATGCTGCCAGCCCTTTGCCTTTGCCTTGCCCTTGGCTTCAAAGCTTTGTTCCAGCAGTTTGGTGCTTTTTCTTTCCCCCTTCCTATGCAATATTGGGTTGTATAAATGCTCTTGCGGAACCTCCATCCTGTGTCCAGCAGCTCTGTATCAATAGATGCCTGAGGAACCGCATTATCTAGGGCTGATCTCCACTGCTTCTGGTAGAGGGTCATTTCTCCTTGTCAAAGCATACAGCTGAAAACAGACTGCCAACTCCAGCCCATAGCAAAAGCCCATTTGGGATTATGCTTTTATGGGGAAAGCCAGCCATGACTTGCTCTTTCCATGCAGTCATGTTCCTCAAAGCACTTGACTCAGCTAAAAGACTTGGTAAGTTAATGGTGATTGAAATAATTTATTAAACATTTTTCCTTTTGAAAAATAAAAAATCCCTCTCATCATAAAAAAGAACAAGATGTAAAAAAAAACATCCTTCCCCAAAATAAGGAGTTGCCCTTCCATCCCACAGTTGTAAAGCTTTGACCAGAGGGATGTTTTCTGGCAGTCATGTTATTTCTGAAATTAGCCAGTACTAAAACCACTGATAATTCTGTTTGAGCTGGTCTCACCTCACTGTGCAGTTGAATCAGTCTGATACCATTGTGCTGAGCAAGTAAGTTACTGAAGCTGTAGCTCCTGGAATTTTTCCACGGCTAGCAAAGCCATTTCGTTGACATGCCACAGCAGTGCTCAGTAAAGCCCAGCTGCTGTAGACAGAAATCATCTCCCTAATTCCTAATCTTGGGCAGGAGGGGTGTGGATGCAGCCTCATGCCTTTGTCACAGCTTTGCCACGTTCCATTCAGGAGCACAAAGAGAAATGTGTCTGCCCTTTATTACTGCTATGCAGCGGGTGGCAAAGGTGGCTGCAATTCCAGCTTGGATCCCAGAGCTGAGGGAGGAGGTGCAAATATGGTATCTTGACCTGGTCAGAGCATGGTAACACGGAGAAACCCCAAAGGCACAAGAGCCCGGTAATGGGCACCATCCTCTGCTCTGAGCTCCCAGCTGGGTGCTGTAGCATTGTCACAGTGGCAACATGGGGTGCCAGCATCCTGACAGCAGCTCCAGTGCTCTTCACCGGCCTTATTCAGTGCTGCTGAAAGTAACTGGGTTTTGGGGACAGCTGCCCTGTCCCCTGCAGAAAGGTTCCTTGGCCCTTGAGGTGGCAGTGGCATGGACAAGCCAGAGGAGCGGAGTCAAACAGTGCTCCCACTGTCCGTTCATAGGGAGGAGGGAATGACACTAAAGCCCCTGTAAGATGAAATGGCTGAAAGAGTTTTATTTGAGGTCACTGCCTCTTCATGGGATGTCTCCTGTTGCTAAAGGTGTGACAGTTGCCTTCATGCTTGCAGACTGGTGAGATCTGCATTATTAAGAGAACACGCATGCGAAGGCAGGACAGCCTTGGAATGACTGGTTTCTAACACCATTGTCAAGATAATAGTGACACAGTTGGGATAAGGCCCTTGTTTACAGCTATAACAGCTTGTGGGAGTATTGTTCACTGACAGTCCCACCACCAGGCAGTCACTTACTTCCTGGAAAACCTTGCCAGACCAAAAGACAACACATCATATCCCCAGCCCTTCCTGTCCAGCCTCCTTGCACCTCTATAGATGCACGTCATGCCCTCACCCAATCTCATGTTGGCAGGAGGAAAAAATGATAAAATTAATCCCTTCCAGCCGTGTGTGCTAAAAATAACCAGCAGCATATGAGACATTGTTTTTAGATGACTTAAAAACAACACCCCATGAAAGGAGAGGGAAGGAGGGAGGTGCTGTCTGTTGTCTAACAATTTGTTCAGGAAATACCGCTTGTGCATCCAGCCTCAGGTGTGAGTGCATGAGCTGGCCATGGACACCGGGCTGGTATTATCAGTGAGCACAGAGCAAATGTGACCTGGGGCTGCACTTGTTGCTCTGGCAGGTGCCCACAGGCCGTGGTTAATGGCAAGTGCTGTGGGGTGGCATCTCTGACAGTTTGCTTTGGCAGGAGGGTTTGATTTGTTTTTCTGGTATTAGGTGCCTACAGGTGAGTCAGGCACCTTCAGACAACGATGCCGTGCCGCAGTGATGGGGCTTTTGTTTCTTCCCCCTGCTCTTTAGGGAGGAGCAGGTCACAAGCCTCACGCTCTGGCGGTGACCTGGCTGGAGAGGAGCTGGGCTCCCATGAGCACTGGGAAGGGTGTCTGGACGTTTTCACAGGCTGATGGATCTTATGAGTGTAATTTGCTGGCAGAGCCACGCAAAATGCATTGTGCAGCACTTGGCACCATGCTGATGAACCTTCCCAGGGCGGCTTCACTGATGCCTCACTGGTGGCTAATTAGCAAAGGACAGGGAATTGCTTCCGTTTATTTTCTTTTCTCATTTACTAGAAACCAGAGCCTTTGGACAGAAAGCTCTTAGTCCTTGCACTGTGAACATGTGTGCAAGGAGTCGTGCTCCCTGCTTCCCTGTGAAGCTGGGGAAAGCGTCATGATGACTCAAAAGAAAGCCTGCTGATGTGTATGGCGCAGCAGGTGAGGCTCTCTGACCCTCCACAGACACATCTTTGGACCCCAGCTTTAGGGACGAAGAATAAGCTCTGCCCTATTCCCTTGCTGTTCCCTTGTGCTAAGCAGCATCTTTTCCCTCTTCTCCGGAAGTCCAGTTTCAAGCTTCAGAGAAGGTAAAGATCTGACCTTGGTGAAACACTGTATTCCCTTCTGCCTGCATCTGAGACAAAACCCTTAACTTGGCTGTCTATCCTGCCTTGATCCCCAGGGACTGTCTTCCTCAAAGCTGCAACACCTCTGGCAGAGGTAATGGAGCACCCCTGACCCCACCCAACTATTCTGCAGGCAGTAGGTACTAGAAAATATTAGAATAGATGTCTCAGTTTCCCATTTTGAAGTTCAAGGATATGGTTATATATTGTTCCTCTTAAAGGCAGAAGTAAAAGCCTTATTTCCCAATGCATACCTGCTAGTACTGTGCTGTTGCCCTAGTGTGTATCTGCTGACTTGGAAGTATGGAATGAATTTGTGTAACAAACATGATCACGCATTCAGAATCTGTAAAAAAAATCCCTGAGTTATAACAATGACTCATTTTTCTTGCAAATGCTTTGTATTTATTGTCTCAGCAGGAATTCAAGACATATATACATGGGGCATTCAGCAAAACATCTGGCTTGTATCCAAAACAGGCCTTAAGAAAAAATAACAGATTATAAAACAGATTATATTTACATAGCAGATCCTTTGGAGAAGTAACAAAAGGAATCCTAAAGATTCAGTGCTCATATATTAGCACTGATAGCTTGGATCTCGGTCTTTTTCCTGAGTTCCCAGTGAAGGCCAGCACTCTTGACAATGCTCAGAGAAAAATAAAAACACAAAGAAGCAAACAGCCTTTGCAGATCTAGACAGAAAAATGTACTTCACTAACACTTAACTCAGATATCCCCATGACGATGCATTTATGGCAATACTTTTTTCATAATATTCATGTGTGCAGCAGCCTGAAGAACGGGGCAGGCTCTATGCAGCCTGCACCTCATTTCCTATTGAATTTAAAGCAGAGTACATTGAGCACAACACCTTTATTAAATGTATTTCAGCTGCTAATGTGAATGCTAATGTCGAATTTTCCAGAGAGTCCCAGGCAGGCACAATCATTGTTCAGTGTCCTTAATGAAGGCTGTGGGATTCCACCGAGTGCAGGACATGGAGCAGGAGCCCTCCTGCTGAGCTCCCTGCATTGCCTTTGATGAACAGCTTTGCCAAGCTGCACATGGTGCTAGCCTGGGAGCTGGTGTTTAGCCAAACAGAAACTCTATGCATTTACTTTTTAATACCTGAAAAAAAACAACTTCTGTACATGTCAGCAAAACATGTTACGTTTCAGTGCTAAGGTGAAAAGCAACTATTCTTGAAACATTGTGCTCTCACTGAGAAGGTACAAGGTGGCTTAGGGGAGGGAACCATGCATGTGGCTCAAGACAGTCGTAAAGATCCCAGCTATACTCTGGGATAGGGTGAAGTCCTCCATGTGGTAAGCAGGCTAAGTCAGTCATCTTCTTAGTGAAATCAGTGACAAGTAACAGCCATATGTAGTGGGTTGTGACAGAGTGACCAGAGCTATGTAATGACAGTTTTGCAAAAACAGATTCAGAAGAGCTAACAAAAAAAAAACAAATTTATAAATACATAAAAAAAAAATTATTTACAAGGCAGGAAAAATTCTAACTTGAACAGACCCAGAATTTAGAAAGTGCAACTATACAGCCTTATACAATGCAAAGGTACTTACATACAAAGCTAGTTAAGAGAAGGAACTGACCATTGATGTCAGAAGTAGCTACAAAACATGACCAACTTCAGCCATTTTCTTGCTAGCTTACACCCATGAAAAAATGTTTAGGATTGTGTCTCATGTGGAATAACTAGTAAAGCTACTGTTCACTTTGATGGTGATTAGCATGCTTAATTCAGCTCCTCCAAAGCCACCCAAGGGTAATAAGCCCTCAGTGAGCTGGGCATAACGCATCACCATTCACTGGATGTGCTGCAATGGCTGCACCATTTCAGAACTTAAATGAGGTTACCATGAAATTAAATGGAAATAAAGGATAAGAGAAGAACCTTCACTTGACAATATAGTTAAATATACAGAAATCCAAGGCTACATTTTCTGTATTGACTGTAACATTCAATTCTGTTGATATTATTTCTTCAAAGAGAGGCAGTTGCTTTCTTTGAATAAATAACATTCTCAAGAAAACCTGACATTCAACATGGATTCAACTTTCAGATCTACTTCTATTGAAGAGTTATGAAGTTACTTATAAAGACACAGTGGTATTGTACTGTTCTCAAGAAATTATTTGTAATATTGAAACAATTCTACCACACATACTTTAATATCTGTATTAGTGTAACATATATTCATATATGTCTTATATAGTACTACACTAAAGTATACTCCCTCTCTGATGCGTAATGTATTCCTTTATTATCACACAACATTGTGCTTTCTTCTGGTTTATATAATGTACTTTTATGTTGATTTATGTCATGTTTTGAACTTTTTTTTGTCATTGCTTTTTAAGCCTAAACAAGTACCATTCAATTAATAGTTCTGTGAAATACTCATGTCAGATAGATAGGGTGCATGTATTTATACTTATATATAATAGATATGCAAATATATATATAATATAGACTAGAACTATGCAACATCATGTAAATTCATAGAATTCTAATTTTTAGTTCACAAAGCAACATCCTGTAACAAATAACTTTTCAATTAAGATAGATAGTGGTTTACTTAAACGAAATAATTCCACTACCAGATCCCTGTCCAGCAGAATCCATGCTTTAGAAAACAAGAGCAGTCAGAAACAGAGCAACTGGCTTTTGCCTTGCAATATATAATCCCAAGTTCCAAGACACTGGAACTTTTCCTGGCTTCTTCCCGAAGGTGCTCCGATCTCCTTGGTGAAACATAGCTGTGTGACCCAAAGACCAGAGCGCCACTGGGTATACCAGCCTGAAGGGCAAGTTCCAGCTTGCCCCAAGTACCCCATTGCATGGTTAGAGGCTTTGCCCATTGCTATCTTTTTTTTTCTACCTGACATTCATATGTCAGTATTGCTGTAACATTCTTCGAAGAAATCATGATGCAACAGCCATTCTTCAGTGGCTACAGGCAGCAAAACACAGCACAAAGAGCTTCTTCATCTCCCAGCGTCAGTGAAGTCTCTTGTTCCAAATCCACAAAGCCAAGGTCCTTCCCTGCTTCTCAGCACGCTGTTAGCCGAGGGGAGCTCATGTCTCCGGGCAGAAGAGCTTCGTGAGGAGGTTCAGGATCTTCTGCCGCAGGTTCCACTTGTCGCCTATCCTGCGCAGCTGCAGGGCGCACTCAGACACCACCTCCGACACTGCGATGCACAAGCACAGCCGTCAGACCCAGCACCGCCGCCTGCCCACCCACACCCCTCCTTCACTTTCACGACATATTCACAATACTGTGATTTTTTTTTCCCCCCATTTCCTCTCTTTTTAATAGGTGTTACACCCCACTACAATCACCGCTGTACATCCCCACGGACGGCCGCAGCCGCATCCCTCCTCGCGCTCCCCGCCTCCAGCGGTGCTGCCCTCGCTCCCAGTGCTGGAGCCGGGCTGGAAAAGCCGTGTGTGTGTCCCGCAAGACTCCGCTACACACCTGTCCCTTCACTCCCGGTACCCGCGGGAGCGGCGGGGAGCGCAGCTTTCCGCGGAGTCCTGCCGGGCATCATCGCGGTGGCGCGGATCGGCACGACTGGGCTCGGAGCGGCGGCGACAGCGGAGACCGTGCTGCGGGGCGGAGCGCGGCGGGGCTTTCCCCGCGCCGTGACGCATGGAAACCGTAAGGGCGAGGGGGGAATCCCGCCCCCCGGCCGAGGTGCGGCGGGCGGCGGCGTGTCTGAGCGCGCCCGAGAGGCGGGGAACGGGAGCAGCGCCGGGGTGAGGGCGGGAGCGGGTGTGCGCGGGCAGGAGGAGGTGGGATGGGGTTTGAGCATCTGCGCCAAGAGGGATGGAGTTTGGTCTGGGACGCCAGAGGTGGAGGGTTCAAGTCTTCTGGTCACGGAGAGGCGAAGGGATGGGGTTTGATCTTCTGGGGCAGGAGAGGTGGAGGGATGGGGTTTGATCCGGGCAAGGAGAGGTGTAAGGATCAGGTTTGATCTTGGGCATGAGAGGTAGAGGGGTGAGGTTTGATCATCTGGGCCAGGAAAGGTGGAGGGATGGGGTTTGCATCTTCCAAGCAAGAACAGGCAGAGGGTTAGTGTGGGTTTGTGATAGGGAAGGAGAGGTAGAGGGTGGGATGTGCTTGTGATGGGTAGGGTTGCTCTTGCACTGAGGAAGAAGGGGTGGAGGGATGAGGTGTGCTTGGATGACGAGAAGCAAAGGATGGGGAGTGCTCATGATGGGCAAGAAGACATAGAGGGATGGGACTGCTTGTTCTTAACCAGCAGTTGCTCCTGACCCAGTCCTGCTTTATTACACAAGGTGATGGTGACCTTGGCCTTGAATAAATGATAGTGAAACAAGTTGGACCATATCATGTGCCTTCTTATGACTTAGGGCCTCTCTCCCACTGCTGGATTCTTCCCATTGGCAGCGCAGTGCCTGCACTGCACATTGCTGGCTGGGACATGCCATGGCGATCACCTATGCTTGCTGTAGTTTTAGATATGCTTTTTCACAAGGAATAAGAGGTGGAATTATAAAGTGGCCCTTGTCACTTTGATCACCACAGTGTTAACAGAGCTGTGAGTCCTCCTCTCACTCCTGCCTCTTGGGGAGCTTGCTATTTGGTGTGGTAGCACATAGGATGGACTTCTATTTCTAAGGGAAAACAGCTTGACAGAAAGAAAACGCAGATGGGCCAGACATAATAAAGAAGTAATTTGTAGCTGAAAGTCAAAAACCCATCTAAACACAGCTTCAAGAAGGAAAAGATGTGGCAGTGTAATACAGACCCACAAGGGGCTGTCCAGCAGCAATTTTCTGTGGGATAGGAGACTCTGAAATCAAGTATTTGGAAAACATTGATGACCTTGAAGTCTATTAGAAGAGGGAATGTTCACTAGCACATCTTAGCTCAGAAATCCTTTCCCCAGTATATTTCCTAGAAACTATGACGTTTTTGCAAAACAATGAAACAGGGCTGGGATTTGTCTCCCTGCATAGGAAACATCAGCACTGTGGCTGCCTGGCAGAAGGCAGCAGGCACAGTGTTACTGTGGGGCTGGCATGTGGGAGAGCCTCATAGACAGGGCATTTCTCCAGGTGAGATGTCCTAACAAACGGTATGGCTGGATGAGACTTTTGCACAGCCATTGCCAAGAGGGTGGCTGGATGCTGGCTTCAGTACACTCTAGTGGCACCCCACGGTGCATGCTGCTGGTTTGGGACCTTGTGCCAGAGCAGCTTATGTTGGCCACAGAAGAATTTCTGATGTTTTTGAGAAGATACCACCTTCATCTCTCATCCTTTGGTATATAACCTATATGGCAGATAGGCTTATTTGCTTGACTTGATGTTTAGGGTCTTTTTTCAGGTGCGTGAACACCCCTGTTTGTAACCCAGCCCCATTCAGGGAGATCTGACCTTTGCCCACATCATTCCTGTTATATAAGAAACTCTTTCTTGAAACAGGTTTGTTGGGTTTTAGATGGCGGGAAGGCAAGTAAACAGCTCAGGAGCATGTCAGGCTGTGTGACGTGTCCTCCCCCATTGTGGAGGTGAGCATGTGATGCTCAGGGCTGCATCTCACAGCCATAGCCTAATGGCTGCTCCATAAATCATTGCAGCTCCTCCAGGATGCCAGCACAGGGGGAGGTGGACACTTACCCACCACGTGCCCCCAGTGCTCTGACTGCTCAGCAGTCCCAAATGGAGGGGAAGTGCTCATGAGCTCTGTCCATAGGGAAGAGGGACACACCAGTCCCTTGTGCTGCTGGGCACATGTGTGTTATGTTGCTTAGTTAGGCAGAGACAGGGATGACCTGAGGCTTATTCTTCTTCGTGAATCTGGAGACAGATCTGATACTTGGGCAAATTAAATAGATTACTTGGGCAAATTTAAATAACTGACTGTTCCTCTAGTGAGGTCAAAACCAAATGAACCTTGATCCTGTCCCGCTTAGAAACACTTCCTCATCCAAAAAGGGAGATGATCTTTAAAGGCAACTTCTCCCTCCATCTCTGCAGCAGTACAAAGAGATGGGTTCTTCTTTTGGCCGTAGGTGGAGAGGAGATGCTTTCCTATCAGGACAGCTGGGCACAAACCAGAGGGCTGGTAGAGTCACAGGCATTTATTTATTTATTTATTTATTTTATTTAATATTAAAATAGTGCCAGTGTAATAAGAACAATGGGAGGCTTCAGTGTACAAAATGGGTTGGTAGACCCCACCTGGAGCATCTGGAGGGCTCATCTGTCCATCGCTGTGGTCAGAGCTGTGTATCTGAGAGCAGAGGTATAAAGGCAGGAAGCCCCACTGTTTAGAGGGAAACTGACTTGCACCAGCTCTGGATCTGGCCCACCTCCCACAGGGTTTTATTGGTGTGTGAGAGCCTTACTGGTCTGTGACAAGTCACAGTCTGTTAGGGGGAGAGCAGCACACGGTGGAGCCACTGCCAATTATAGGATTGTGCAACAGGGGCAGAGCGAAAAATAGTCCGCTGTGTTTGCGAGCCTGGCGGGCTCTGACTTCTTTTGTTTCAGTTCCCTTAAAGCTGTGGGAAGCACAGGTCTCTGGGAAGCTGCTCTACCAGAGCAACCACGAAAGTGGTTTTGTGCTATGGCTCCACAGATCCCCAGGTGGGCACAGCCATGGTAGGGAGCAGAGCAGCAGCCCAAGGAGCACATCCGCCTTGGAGCAGACTTCCAGTTTATCTCTGCTTAATGCCATTTAAAGTTAGTGCAATGACACTGCTGAGAAGAGAGAATCATGTCGAGATAACATGCCCCGAGCTTTCCTGGTGTCTGGGCTATGTGGTATAACCAGGAACGTGTTAATGAAAGCCAGCACGTGGTGGACTTTTCATATGAATAACACCAGTGAGCAGGCTTGCTTAAAGGAAATCGAATGTTACAGGGACAAAATCAAGAGTAGGAGAGAAAGGAAATTAGCTGTTTCTTTTTTCTATGAACTCTGTTATTTGTGCTGCATCAGCTTCAAGCTGTTTCCGTGCCTCCCCATAAGATCTTAAATAAATCTCTGTCACTGCTTCATTATTGGAGTTCATCTTCCCATCAAGTCTATCTGGTGTTGACAGCCCCTGTGTTAACTGAGAAGCTGTTTGTTTCTCTCTCTCCTTTTTCCTGTTTCTGCAGACCACAGTGAGCGGCTCCTGTTGATCCTTGTGGGTCCCAGTGCCCAAGCAGGAAACTTGGCTCTATTGTTAGGAGCATAAACCAAAGGTCATTTCGGGAAAGCTCAGCAGGGTGCGGCCACGCTGAGTGAGGGTGCTGGTGACCTTAGCAGGCTTCTTCTCAACCCCCCTCCCCTGCCCCATTTCTTAAATCACTCTAAGTCTTGTTTGCTCTTCTAAGGCACTTTTCCTCCAGGGATCTCTCCCACTGTGGCAAGTAAAGCTTTGTAAATCCTCAAGCCTAAGCATCAATCTCAACCTCATTTTTCAAGGAAACGACTTTGTTCTGTGCTAGCGATTTTCTGGTGGCAACTGCAACAAAGCTTCAGCCTCCAGCAGCTGCTGCTGTGCTGCTGGCACCTCCACTGTGGGGAGGGAAGAGGTTAATGCATCTTTTAATAGCTAATCCAACTTTGATTTTCTGATATAATCAGAAGACAAGAAAAGAAACTAAGGAGAACTGCCTGTTCACTGCTGGGATGTAACCCTACTTGTACAGGTCTTATCTGCTGTTTAAATATTACCTAATGGCCCTTCCACTAATTCTTACACTCTTCCTCCTATGCTGCTGTCTCTTGCCTGCTTCCCTTGAAAGCTTAAACAACATTTTCTTACCAAAAGGTGAGCTGCATGGCTTGTTCATATATTGCAGTGCTCTACCACTGGCAGGCGGATGAACACCCATCTGAGACCTCCTGTGTGCCAAGCAGGCAACACTAATTAATTACTTGCAAAATGCTTCTGAAAGATGATTCACGTGTCTCTGATCTGCTGCCTACCAAAGCCAGTGTGGGTGAAGTATTTTTTCTGCTGAGAGCAATAACATTTAGTTGAGGATGGGGCTGGATAGCAGAGACCTTCCCTGATAAAGCTGGAGTCTAAGAGAGGTTATATCCACTGTGCACTCTTAATCAACGAGTAACTGTGAGGAAGCTTAGTTGACTGAGTTTTCCTGGTTTTAGGTTCTTACACTGTCAATTCTAAATTATCCAGGGTAGATTATCGAGTAAGATGAATTTTCTGTGAAAGCAGAAAACAAAGACGCTGCAGGTGGCTCCTTGTAAAGTCATTCCCAATCCAGCCTATTGGTCATCATCAAAAAGCTTTCTAAAGAGTTAAAAAGGTTGTAAGAGATGGCAAAATTCAGTAGGTATCTTGTTAAGTGCCATTTAGCACTCATGAATATGACAATATCCTCACAAAGGCAAGTCTTTGCAGCTGCTACCCAGAAGAAGTAAAGAAGTAGGTATCATTAAAGTAAATATTGGCACTGATCACTGTTTATGAGGCTGATAGAGTATTTGCTAAAGAGCTCTCTGTGTGTGTAGGTGTCTTTGCAAATGCCAAGCATAGTGTTAGCACAGCTGCACCATCAAGGCTGGGTTTGTGCAGAAGTCCTCCCATGGATGGTGACTACAGTTATTTTCTGTCTTCCTATCTTTGTTGAGAATTTGGATGTGCTCCATTTCTGGAATTCCTCATTGCTTGCTGGCCTGACAGATCTTTTTTGGGATCTGGCTAC